TAGAAAATGCACTTTCTGTGAACCTTTGTCAATTTTTGGGACAATTTATCCACGAAACGAACACTTCTAAAAGCCTCAAAGCTCTTCAATTTTAATGCAGGTATATTTTACATGTTTTCATGTTTAGATGTTTCTATTGTTTTTCTCCTCTATCTTAATTGTATCTTTCTTATGTCATGCACCAACACACCTAGGAATTTGGCATAAACCAGATTCTGAATGTTATTCTGAAAGATTTCCGACAAAAATATATATTTTTTATTTAAAAAAAAAAAGTTTTAAATCATATCTGAACACAAGCTAATAAACATTAACTTAATCTATATCGAATAGTCTAATTTGGGAGATGATCTGCTTTAAATCAGGAATTATCTGATCAAATCACGAGCAGAAAGGATTATGAATATGACTGCACATTTGATGCCAGCTTTCAGCATGAGAAACTCTGTGCTCCAAACACATTTACATAAAACTAAAACGCACGCACGAAAACACACGCAAGCACGCACACACGCACGCACACACACACACAGAATCTGCTCTTAGTGCCTGAATCAGTGAGCTGTGTGTCAGCAGTGGCCCTTTACTAAGCTAACTAAGAATAAAGTGACGAGTGAGTCTGCTCAGAGGCTAACATAGCGATGAGAGTTGTCATCACGTCCTACATGTATATATATCATTTCCCCACTACTGCCTGACCCATCGCATGCATCTTCACACTGCACACTATGCCCTAAATTAAACAGAGATGAATGTTTCCAGCACTCTCAGGTATAGCTATAACTGGATAAAGAAAGATGATTTTGTGAGTAGCTTTCAACCATAATGATAGGTTAACGCATTGCCAACAGTACATCTGTAAATGTGATCATGGTGTTGTGACTGAATTACTAACACTGTGTTTGGCATCTGTGGAAATGAAGCATACACAAGCTGTGTACCACACGCACACACACACACACTGACACTTGTCACTGACGAAAATACAAGTCTGTGGTTGTTTTGCAGCAGATCTCACTGCCTCTTCCTCGCTGATGAGGTGAGGAAGAATGTGCACCTCGTATCGACTGCTTCTCAAGGCCTCTAGCTCTGAAAGGATGATGGATGCAGACAGCCAGTGTGTCTGCACCTGAACCGTGAGGCTGAGTGCAGCTGGGCTAAAGCACGGTAAGAAGGTCAGTTTAAAACATAACCTTCAATAATGAGGAATGTATTTTTCAATAGATTCTTTGAGACTAAACCTTTTTTTTTGCCAAAGAAACTGTTTTAAACTGCTGAAGGTTCAAGTAAACTTAACCCAGCCTTGGTTTTTATGTCAGCACTCATTTTTCAACAAGGTTTGGAATAATAAACAAACAAAACAAGTATAACCTTCACAGAAAGCTGAATCAATGCATCCCAGGCCGAGCATTAGCGCTGCAGGACTTAGCATAACACAGTGACATCACACAATTGTATTGGCTAGCGCTCCAACACATTGTGCGTGATAGACTAAGGGGCGGGACATCTCTAAGCGGTTGACCAATCCCAACAGAGCCGGCCAGCTAACCAATCCGAGCAGACTGGGCTCTGGTTTCAGACAGAGGGTGAAAAGAGGTGCACAGGCAGTATGAGAAAAATAAAGAGCTTTGTGAACATTAAAGCATGGAGACATGTCACAGTAGAGACACTACAGTACACCTGAACATGATCCTAAAATGTCCTCTTTAAAAATGTTACGTCAGGATGCTGCCCATATTATCGGGGTAAGCCCCATTTTCTCTCAGCACCTATGAAGTTGTTCTCCCTATTCAGATAACGGCCCATGGTTGTGGCATTTTTAGCATGTCTGCCTTGTCCCATGTTAGAATCTGTTTACAACTTTTTGAGATGTCGCTACAAAACCTGATAACAGATCCTCAAGATCAGCGCTGAACTCAGACTGAAACATCACACTAAGGCAGACTCTGCAAAATCTCCTTTTCATTTACGGCCATCAAGCATTGGAGTTTGGCTTCTCGCTGTTTTAATTGTGTGTTGTTTGTTAAGTGTGTACACGCCCAGGGGACTGCAGATGGAAATGAGCTACTAGCTAAACCTGGCATAAATAATTTCTTCCCCTTTTAGAGATGACTTGATTTCTATGCATGGTCCTTGTTTATTAAGGATATACTAATAACAGACTGAAACATGACCTCACTGGGTGCACATAGGAAAAGTTATCTCACAGGAAATTCTGCCAGAAATCTCCTTTAGGTTTTTCGCAGCAAAACTCCTCGGTATTGTTTAAAATAGACTTCTTGTTTGGTGCAGAACTCCCTGAAGGCAACGCTCTCCCATGTGTGGAGGTACAGATCTGAGGGAACATCTCACTGGTGTTTCTGCCGCGGCTGTCGACGGGAAAACCTGCATCGCTGTGTTTGTTTTCTTTTCCTCATGTTTTTATGTTGTGTGTTGATGCATAAACAACAGCTTCATTTTGTCATGTGTTGCAGAATGACAATAACAACTAAGCTCATGCCTGCATGCATGAGGGTCTGCAAGATAATGCTTTTCAGCCTGGAGCTTCTAACGTGTGGGGTTTTCTGTTTGAATGAATGTGTACCGCCCACCTCTCATAACAAGATACATTTATGGTAAAGTGTTGACACTAACCGGGGATAATATAGGTAGCTATAGGTATTGTTATCACTAAGAATATTGCACTATAGTTTCTTCTGCGTCACCAAAGCTTGTCACAATAATTACATGAACGACCTTTACGTACTTACAGATATGACCTTGATCGTATTTGATAACCTTGATTATGCCCGTTGTGTTTACATGCCCGTTTGTTTACATAAGAATGTCCGCTACATTTTAACCAACTATCTTTTTGAATAAACAGCCAGGTTTTCACTCTTAAGAGAACGTAAGGCAGCACAGACTTTAATAACAGAGCCTGTGAGTACACTTTTTTCAATTTGCTTCTTGTGTGCCTATATTTTATTTACATTATATTCTTTTTAAATCACAATCCTATTGCAATACCTGAATATTCTGAAGAATGAGAGTTGCATTGCTCTTTAAAAGGTTATCCTTGCATTATATCAGTAGCCTGAAAGTGTCTTCTTGTATTCACAATCTTTTTATGTATCGCAATCACTTTTTAGGGAATATATTGCCCAACATATCATGACAGACCTAGTGTCCCTTCCCTTGTGAGCTCCATAACATGTAAGTAAACAGTGCAGAATGTAGTCCCTCGACATGCTGTTCCCATGTTTCACACACAGACACAACTCTTGCCATACTACAGCATTGCTCGGGTACACACAGATATCAGATATGATGGAGCAGAGAGAGATAGAGTTACCGGAGGCCAGACAGACACATCAGGGCTACTCCCGCCCGTACAGATGATGCTCCTCTTGTTGATCTCCGCTTGGCAGAGTGGACTGCAGTTGAGAAGGCCGATCAATAGCACACACTACAGCCATCCTCACCCAGGGTAAACACAACCACGCCTGCAGACTGCTCCGCATCCCGCTGCTTACTGGAGAAACTCGGGCACACGGGCCACTTCTCGTAACGACTGTTTATTTTCACACAGATTACAGTGCTCACAGCGGGGCTATTTGCACCATGTGACTGACAAGTGTTTTATTGTGTTGCACTGTTCGAGGAGCCTGTGACCTAAGCATACCTTGAATGAATGCCTTGAAACTATAACCGGAGCAGCCTTATTGAAATCTTGTCTAAAAATATGCGTCAGAATCATATTAATCGCGTCCAAAAAGCCTTTAAGCTCCTCTTCAATACCATCATTTCTCCCCGCTGTGCTGCGTAAGGTCTCCTGTCATGACCTGAGTGACTGTTGACAGAGCATGTTAACTCTGCTGCTCTGCAATGTGTCCAACACCGCTCCTGCTGTATTCAGTTCACACCTGCTTTCCTAACTGTGTCATGTGCTGTATCGTGCTTGCATTCTCCCAGATATATTGAAAATGCTCCTGCACATGCACACAGTGGAGATGCAGTCTGTAACCTGTCTTTGACATCCATGACCCCTGCTAAGGTTATGCACATCTCAGAGTGACGTAGGATGTGTTCGGAGACATGCGTTCCATGTGTTTAAGAGCCTGATGTGCTAAGTGCTTCATTAATATTTCAACGCAAAGGAAGTCTGTGTTTATTTTTACCTTTGCAGCTACATGCTAAGACGTCCTGGCTATGCACTGCTACATATTTGAACTATACTGACGTTCTTTTACACGTACAACCCCTCCGAGTGTTTCCCCACCTTGCAGCAGTTTAACATGTCATCTGTGTGTTTATTCAGGGGGGTTCTCACCTGAACACTCCCAACAATCCCACACACCCTCTCCTGCACGTAGTCTCCCTCTCCCTCTCCCCATCACCCCCACCATCGGTCCGTCTCCCCCCTCCTCCCTGCACTGACATGTTTCCTCTGCTGCTCGTTTCTTTGATCCCCCATCTATCCCTTGTATTCATGCAAATAACAACAAAGTGTGCATACGCCCCTGACAATGGCATTATCCCTTGTCTCCTTTCCCCCCCTTTTTCCCCCCCTCCCGGCTCTATAAATAAGCACTATTACAGCGTTTCCCTCTCTCCATCCCGCTCTGCCTCCCACACACACACACACACTCACACACGCTCACACACACACACACACACATATACATTCTGACAAACAGCATCATAAATCAGGGGGTGGAAGGAGGGGGGGAGGGGGAGAAGAGTGGTGGGGGAGGCAAACCACACACACATTTGAACACATATTGTCTCTGACATCTCTGCCTGTATTCTGTGTCTTCTGTGACTATAAATCTTGCTCACACACTGCGCCGATAGACAAAACAAACACCTGAGACACACACACACACACGTATAAATGTAAAGCCGGTCCTTACACAGTCTCGCGCAAGACCCCCCATCCTCCTCCTCATCCTCCTTCTCCCCCCCAACCAAACCCCCTTCTAGTCTGCAATGAGAGAGGGAAGAGAAGCGGGGCTTACTCAGTGTCCTGGAGCCGATGCATCCCATGGTGTATTCACAAAGGCCCTGGATACAAGCGTGGAAGTGTTACCCGGACACCGAGCATTCTCCCTCTTCCTCCTGCGACTCTCTCTTTCTCTCAGCTTCTCGCTTCTTTTCCCTCCCCGTGCTCTCTCTCTTGTCTCCTCTCTCCCTCTCTCCTGCGCTTGCTCGATCCCTCCCTCCCTCCCTCCCTCCCTCTCTCTCTCTCTCCCCTCTGCTCTCTCTCTCTCTCTCTCTCCGGTGCAGTGTCTTAGAAGAGATCCGGTTAGTAAGTCAGTATGCCTGGAGGAGATAGATTGGGACTAAATAAAGATGCGAGGAGGGCGTTATTAGCATTATGTAAACAGATGTCTTTTTTTTTCCTTTTTTTATAATCTAAAATTGCTTCCAGATATCCATTCTAATGTGCAGCCTTTTATTACATTTACCCAAACAGATATTAAGACTGACAATGACTGGATCATTTGTAAATGAGAAAAAAGCAGTCACAGGCATTATTATTCTGATGAGAGGTCAAAGTGTTCAGTGGGTTAGGGTTGCCGGGATCAGTCGCGCGCTGCTGAGAGTGCCGGGCTGCCATTGTTGTAGATATCTCTGCACTGCCGTAATATTGTTGAGCTAAAATGGGGGATTCTCTCTCTGTCTCCCTCTCCTGTGTGTGCTCAGCCTAACAATGCACTGCAGCGGTTTCCTCACCTCCATCACCCTCCATCACCCTCCTCCTCCTCCTCCTCACTCACACTGATCACTCCAAAAAAACCTACACACACACACACACACCAATATTAAACAATCTTGGAGAAAAAAGGAAAAAGGCAGCCGAGGGTTTTCCTCCACAGTGAAGCTGAGTCTCCACCTCTCTTTTTCTTACGTCGTCTCTCCGTATCGATCCGCCCCTCAGTCATCTCTGCACCTATTTCTTGCTCCTGAATCACGTCTCCCCTCGCCTCAATCCCCCCCCCCCCCCCCCCCCCCTCAACCCCCCCTCATCCCTGGAGAAACTAATGAGAGGGGTGGCTCTTTTATCTACATCTCCCTCTCATTAACACCACCACACCTGCACCTGTTTGTATGTATTTCAAAAGGTACAATGCACATTAATTAACATTAAGTCCATTATGTATGTGTGTATGTATGTGCCAGATTTATCGGCTAATTTTCATCTGCAGTCCCTTCATTCAACTTCATATCAACAATTGTTCCCTTTAACCTTCTCTGTTGTTGTACTCCCCTTCAGTTTGGGAAGCCCCTCTTTCTTTGCTGATTGCCAATTCATTTAAGCTCTTCCTATAAGTGTGTGTCCAGCAAATGACGCAGGAGCAGTCTGGACAGAGAGGACGTTGAGGGGGGGGGGGTGCATGTGTGGTCACTCATGTTTTCTAGACTTTTACGCACATTCGGCGAAGAAGACGGAGAGGGAGAGAGCGCGACAGATGGACGGACGGAGAGACAAAGACATGGGCACAGATGGGGTGCAGTGATGGGAAGGAAAGAGTTGAGTCATGTGCGAGAGAGGTGTGGAGACGATGCTGTGCAGAAAGAAAAAAATAAATTAGCACCTCAGTCTGGACGGAGGAGAAAGATAAAACAATCTAATCACTTCTTAGTGTAAGAATGCAGAGAGATGCAGAGGCATGGATGTGATAGCAGTCAATACACGCCAGACATAACAAATCACACATAATCCAGCCAATCCCTGCACTGTGGGTGTACATATAGATGTGTGTTAGCTCTCACTGGGACCGAGAGTGAGGCGGCTGCAGGGGTCAGCTTCAAACGGGGTTTTGGATACCCTCAACCTGATTAGGAGAAAATCAACATAATGTGTGTAATTTAGTTCATTTTTCTTGGACGCCTGTTTCCTTCTCTGGGTTTCAATTCCCCTTCCATCTGCCCATTAGTCTGTGTAAATCACTGTCTGGAAGTCTTCATAATCTCTCATTCAGTCTCTTTATTTGCACCCTGTCATGGCAAATAATGCTGTTTCAGAAATCCTCATTCAGCTGTTGTTAAAGAGGACATGCTATGCTCATTTTTAAGTTTCATATTTGTATTTACGGTTACATTTTCACATGCTTTAATGTTCAAAAAGGCCTTTATTTTTCTCTCATCGCCTGTGCTGCAGCACCTCTTTTCACCCTCTGTCTGAAACCAGAGCCCAGTAAAGCCCAAATGCATAATAGGGCGTCTAAATAAGAAAGAAACATGTTTGGCCTTTTTTGCACATTCGTCTGCATCAAAGATAGGATGTATTTACCCTGTGCATGAGCTAGGTCAGATTACTGACTCACAAACTACAGCTGGTACGATTAATTGATTAGTTGGACTATTTTGATAATAGACTGATTGGGTAGTGGTGGTCTAATGGATAGTGAGGTGGGCTGAAGATCGGAAGGTTGTGAGTTCAAATCCCGCCTGGAACACCACCACTAGTGTGCCCTTGAGTAAGGCTAAGGCTAAGTGCCTTACTCAAGGTTACTCCAGGGAGAATGTCCCTGTAATTGGTAATTGTAAGTCCCTTTGGAAAAAAGCGTCAGCTAAATGTAATGTATTTGCAAAGCCAAACATCTGATGCTTCAAGCTTCTAATATGGGAATTCTTTGCTGCTTTTTCTTCTCATTGCATCACAATTAATTGGGATACTTTTGGTTTGGTGTCAATCTATTCAAGACTGTTATGATGTAACCTTGATCTCTAGGAAAATTGTGACTTGCAATTTGTCTTATGTTCCATAGATCAAGCAATTCATCGATTAACTAAGACATCATCTTCAGTTTAACAGATAATGCAAAGAAAAGATAGTTGCAGCCAGATCGCGCACGCACGCACGCACGCACGCACGCACGCACGCACGCACGCACGCACGCACGCACGCACGCACGCACGCACGCACGCACGCACGCACACACACACACACACACACACACACACACACACACACACACCACACACACACACACACACACACACACACACACACACACACACACACACACACACACACACACACACACACACACACACACACCCCCTCCTGTGTGACAATGTGGTGGTGTACGATATGGACCGTCGATGTGAGACAAGGTCAACCACAGTGGGAATACATTCTTGACACTAATCTCACTCATGATACATGGGCCCTTTACAACGATGACTGTCTTTGTCCACCCCTATCGACTCCCACTCACCACACACACACACACGTTTCTACAACAATGCATGTACAACAACATGAAACACGTGACCCTTCTATCATGTTCCCATCGGCACGTCTCGGCTGATGATGCTGCGCTGAATTCAAATGCAGCTGTTTAAATGTATCTCGGGGACCCGCACACACCTCATTCCTGTAATCAGTGACTTTCCTGTACCTGTCACTATCTGTCCATCAGATCCGGCCTCTTCTGTTGGTTGCACATCAAGGGTAATGTAGAACAGCTTAAAGATCTTCTGTGCAGATGAAGAGAAATGCCTGTTTTCAAAGTCACTCTGAAAGTTTGTAATATTTCTTTTTTTTTTAATGGTTAAAATTCTCTAAAATATGTAATTCTCCCATTGCCTTTTCTTCTCCACTGCCCACTGCTTTCCATGTAACCCTGTCTTTATTCTGTGCTCTGCTGAACCTCTGCGCTACTATATGTGTTAATTGGAACCACATGTTACGCATCGGCCTCAAGGAGCCACCTTGTAAGTTAGGCGAGAATGTGTGGGTGTTTGTGTGTTAAGGAGGAAGAGAGAGTGTGTCACTGACAGCCAGTCTGTATTGGGTTTCACATATGAAGAAAGAGAGAACATATGAGTGGGGAAGGAGAAGTGATGGGGAGGGGAGGGGACAGAGGGAGGAGAAAAAAGGGAGAGAGAAAGATGAAAGGGGGAAAGAAAGATGGGGATAATTCTCTGTGGTCTTTAAGGAGGAATGGGCGTAAGAGGTGGGCGGGGAAGAATGAGATGTATAAATGTTGTTTTAAAAAGAGTCAGCCTCTAATAAGCTGTTCTTAGGCAGCCACCTCTGGGTAAGATAATTGAAACAAGTGATTTAAATGTGCATTATTTCTAATGTCCAGCAGATGGCGACTACATAAAAAAAGTTTGATTGTATAGAAGTCGACGAGAAAAAAGTCACTACTTCTCAATGGATTATATATACTCAGTAAACATTTTCCTGAGGACTTTTTGGTCTCAATCGGTTCTTTCAAGTCTTCTTAAACACAGCAAGATGTTCCTTTTGTAAATGTTGGTCCGATTTGGAGTAATTTAGACAATAAGAAAGCAGGGCTAGCTTATTACGGACAGCTCACTAAACACCGCATTGTCCAGTATTGGTGCTCTCTTACAACTTTGACCCTTTCCTTAGTGTGTTTGCAGTTCATAAAAGTATCATTTTGGATGCCTAGACATTTCTATTTCTGCATTTGATTGTACTTTGCTTTATTTTCTACCTCACTGGTTGAAAAAAAACAAGATGACGGAACCAAAAAGCCAAACTTAAGGCTCCAAAACCGCTGTCCACAAACCAATGGGGGTGACGATACCCTGCAACCTTTTCAGTAGATAGACATTTTGGGTATTATTATGTGATGCTTTTGGCAGGCAGTTCACCCTTTTAGCTTGAATTCTTTGTGTATGGGTGGTAGGGAGTCTCGTTCTGTATGTGTGTGTGTGTGTGTGTGTGTGTGTACTCTAGTTCTTAAAAAAGGCAAAGAAATCTAGCGTACGAGGAGTTCCCAACTCTCCTGTATTATTTACAATCCTTTTTCCTGCACTCCTGCAATCACCCCACATTCTCTCTCTTTCTCCAGCCCTCCCTGTCTAGCCCACCGCTGCTGCAGCTGTTTATCCCCAGAGATCGCCAGCTTCTCATGTGTCCATTCTCCTCCACAAGCCTATCACTCTCTATCAGAGGCATGTCACTATCTACACTCCCTCCTGTCCTTAATCACATATCTAACTGATGTGGATGCTGTCGGGAGATTCAGAGGAGTCTTCTCCCCTAAGGCATTGTATTCTCTTAGTCTGGCTGTGCTCACCACTGTGTGAGCCTGACACCTGCTGGGGGAACTGGGGCTCGACAGTCTGGTTGAATGGGAGCCAGTTTGGCTGCAGGGAGATGTTTTTCTCCAGGTGCTGAGTGAAGAGACTATGTTCTCTCTCAAGTATGCAGGTTCTTATCCTGTCTAAAGCACGCCTGGAATGTCTGCTTGATGGCTTAATGTTTTTGTTTTTTTCGCTTTGTGGGCACAGCTAACTTGCAACTCCATTGTAGGCTACAGTATACATACTTGCAAGAGGATTTGTGCATTACAACTTGCTTTTATCAACTTTATCTCACATCTCCAAACCTAAATGATCAGAGATTTGATTTAGATGTGGAATTGAGGAAAGCTCATTCTTGCACTGTAGCTAAACTAACTTTGTTTATGAGGGAATTTTACGAAGATTGATTATTTCAAAAATAATTTCTAAGAAGGTTTTTTTAAACCAGCTTTATATGTTGCTAGAAGTGTGTTGTATTGACACAAAGTTAATTATTTTTCAAACAACAGCTGGGATTGCCATAAATTGAGAGGGTCCAAGACAGGGATATAATTGTTTAACCTAATATAATACGCATTGTTATAAATGGCGAAAATCCCAGAGCTCGCTCCAGAGGAAGTTTCTCCCGCCTCAATTGGACTCATTTGTTTACTTCTGTTATACAGTGACATCACTATACACTCAGGCTCCTAATGGTATAGCGCTCCAACAAATTGTACGTGATAGGCTAAGGGGCGGGACAGCTCTAAACAGTTGACCAATCAGAACAGAGCTGGCCAGCTAACCAATCAGAGCAGACTGGGCTCTGGTTTCAGACAGAGGGTGAAAAGAGGTGCGGCAGCACAGGCAGTATGAGAAAAATAAAGAGCTTTTTGAACATTAAAGCATGGAGACATGTCACAGTAGAGGCACTAACTACAAATATAAACCAAAATGAACATAACATGACCTCTTAAATTCTCATGCGAGGTTCAGAAGCAGTGTTCATTTATTAAAATGTAGGAGTCGTGGCGTATGGTGCAGTGGGTTGTGCGTTGGTGTTCGGATCAGGGGGTTCAAACCCCACTGCAGTCAGCATGTCGGTGTGTCCCTGAGACACTTCACCCCAAATTGCTCCTGTGGGGATTGCCCACAGTATTGAGTATGTTAGTCGCTTTGGATAAAAGCGTCTAACAAGTGACATGTCATGTAATGTAATGAGTGTGTGGTTGCAACATACTGTCAGAGAAAGAGTGGAAGGAAAGTTGAACTGCTCAGTCCGGAATAAATCATTAGCTTTATACAGTCTACTCTACCATGGTCATGTTCGACTCCTTTAAAATGCATTTAGTTGGGTGTGAGAAATTAAAGAGACATTAACCCTCCATTGAAATAGCTTCCTCCTTTTCTCTGTTGAGCGAAGTAGTGAGGGAGAAAGAAAGAGAGGGTTGGAAATGATCCAGGAACAGGATAATAACTCAGAGCATTATAAGGCAGGTACTGACTCACAGGAGCAATGGGAGGTGGAAAGGGAGAAGCGGAAAGAAAGATATGAAAAGGGAAATAAAAGTGCAGCGTTTGCAGGGCAGGGCTGGAGGAATTTGGAAAGAAAAGTGTTTAAAAAAACATGCCGCACGAAACAGAGAGAGGGGGAGAAATATGGCACTTAGAGAGGGAGGGGGAGACGAACGGTTCTCTCCAAAGTTTGGCTGCATTCCAGGCTGTCTGGCTCTGATTGTGACGGCCTCCTGTTTTTATTTTTTTTGTCTTACCTCCAGACTTAGGGGACCCTGGAGCTTCCCTCTGCCCTGCCTGATCCAAACGTCAGTCTCCATGGCACCGGCTGATGTTTGCAGCTGCATGAAAACAGGAAGAAGTGCTTTACTTTGGTGTCATTTCAACAAACTAACGTCACTGAGACAGAAGGCAGGCTTGTAAATTGGCAGGAATTTGGAAAGGCCAACAGAAGTTGACCTCCTCCCAAATGTCACCTGCCTGAGAGCACTTTTTTTTATTCTGTGGAAATCTCTGAGTGGAAATTCAACATGTTTTTTTAGTCCCAGTGGAAGTGGGGAGAGACTGGAAGCATTCCTAGCGGGACAATGGGCTATCAGAGACCCCAAAGACCACTCCCTGTGTATTTCACAGACATGAATCAGGCAACAACAGGTTACACAACGGCTACTGCAGAGGTTTGAAAGAGGGGAGATCTGCCTGGTTTCACAACCTGAATTAAATGCAACTCTGCTTTGACTCAACCTGAAAGTCATGGGAGAGATGAGTCAGAACAGAAGTGGACACTTGATGCTCGCTCCAAAACCTCTGAAATGTTATATACAGTCATACAGTGAGATAACGGCAATTGTTCCAATGCCCTTTCCCTTTTTACTTGTATCTAGAAATACATAAGTAAAAATAATTTCTATTATCGGTTGATCTGTTGATTATTTTCTCTGTAATTTAGTCATTTTTGGTGAAGCACATTTTAAATAAAGTCACAATCCCCCACAACTCTAGATGACATCTTGAATTTGCTTTCTTTGGTATATTTGCTTGACTTTTTCGGACAATTCATTGATAAGTTATTAAAATAGTGTATTATTTGTCGGTTGACTTATCAATTAATGGACTTAATTTTAAAAAAGCACTGGTAAAAGTCTTGATTCACATTTACATTCGTAAATGTTTTTGTTCATTTGCATTATGAGCAGAAACACTGTTTGAATTACCGGACCCATGTTACAAAAAATCTAAATGTAAAACAATAATTACACTTTCAAAATATTAAAATAAGAATGTGAAAATGAATGTTAATTTATGTCAAAGGACTAAATAATGTAGTCAAAAGTAATGAGTGATTTATTGCATTATACAAGCAATGACCACACCTGAAAGTGTGATAAGACTATGATAGGGCTAAATGAGTCATTATGGTGTTTAACTGGTGTGTGTGTGTGTGTGTGTGTGTGTGTGTGTGTGTGTGTGTGTGTGTGTGTGTGTGTGTGTGTGTGTGTGTGTGTGTGTGTGTGTTGCATAAAAGGATATTAAGTCATAGTAGCAGTCATTTGTGCAGGATGGGAGGTGTAATCTAACACCACGGTGAAGGGCGATCACATCCTCATTGTCAGGATGAACAAATATGATTTGTGAAAGAGCCATAAAAGGAGCAATCCAAGTTCCCACATGTTTACTGCCTGAGTGCAAAGCAAATAATGATGTGGCAGCACACTTGGCAACCGGCAAAATAATTCCTCTACAATCTGATCCTCAGCTTTTGCCTGTCGAGGCAAGGTATTGAAAGGCATAAAACCAGCCTTTTTTGTATTGCCTTACAGTTTAAAAAAAAAAGTTAAAATAGCCAAAGTATACCACAACCCAGCCCTGTTTGAGCATACTTTTTTCCTCCGTTGTGCCTCCTTGTGTTTAAAAAGCATGACCGTTTTAGTGTCTGTATCTAATCAAGCCTCGAGTCTAGCCCCATTATCTCTCCCTCCCTCTCCCTCCCTCATTCCCTCAGCCTGACCTTACAAGGAGAGGCAACAGGGTTGATGTCATTGAATGAAGAATGCTTCAAGAATCCAGAGAGAAAGGAGAGCAGCAGGAGGAGGAGGGGTCTAACTGGACAGTTTTATGAACACACACACACACACACGCTGTTTACGTAGTAATACACAACTCCTGGGCCAAAGTAAAACGAGAGAGAACTTGTTTGGAAGGATGGTGTCATTCCTTTTCCAGACTGAAAAGCACAGGGGGAGGGTCTAATAGCTGGAGAGGGGAAGAGAGAAAGATAAGTTACCATTATTTTACAGTCAGCTCTTACTTAGCCTGGACCAGGAGAAAAAACAAGAACAAAAGGAAGAGGGGGAAGGAAAAAGGAGATACACACTGCAGCTGTATTGACAGGGTAAGTAATGGACTTTCATGTGAATCAGTATGAAAGAAGGAGATTGCATGTACTACTTTCTTTTGGACTGCCACACAGGTTACCTAATAAGGTGAAGTATTTTGTCAATGCATGATAGCAGATTGTTTCAATGAGGGATACACACCTTGGGGAAAGGCATGTTTGTGATGTGACACTAGTGTGGGTGTCACATGGCAGCGGTTTATAAGACATATGTGAAAACTACTGCAGATTCTGGTTGAAAGATACCTTTGTGTGGATGATGTTCCGTTGTTTCCCTATAACTGAGAGGCCGTTTTGAGAACAGAAACATATACTGTAGGCTGATGGACACCGACGATAAGGACTGCTATGCGGAAGCCCCAAGAGGAAGTCGAGCCAAAAAGTTGACAAAGCTAGTTAGCTAGCCGCGCAGCTGGTTAGCCTTTATTTACGTCAGAGAGTGGAAGAAATAACTTGATGACAGCACAGTTAGGAGAAGGCGTGTGTGTATTGCCATATGAGGTAAGGAAAAAATGGGGCGGTGTTGTAGCCACTAAAACTACCTGAGATAAGCTAGCAGTGGTAGGGGTGTGTAGCAAGCTAGCTAACGTTAATACTGCTGTGATTGATGATAAGCCAAAGGTTAGCGTTCATCACACTGACTGGTCAAGCTCACAGGTGAGAGTCTGTTGTCTTGTATAACCTAAAGAAGATTTATATTTTCCAGAGATATAGAGATATATTAATGTGTGTTGAAGCTACAAAGCTAACGTTCCCTGATATACATATGTAACTGCTAACGTTTTCGAACGCCATTTAAGCATAACGGTTAATAACGGCTAACGGTTAATTAGCAACATTAAACTCTTTCCTCTCTTAGCCCCATAGCTAGCTGGGTTATACACATTTTCCCATTGTGTTTATTGTTTGTAAGTGAATTATCAATTATTATTAATTAACCTAGCTGTCTACCTGTATTTGCTGTGTTTTGTAAACGCGCACCCATTGCTGTCAGCTGTCAAAGCAAAGGTTGGTCAGCCAGTGGGGGAGTAACTAAGTAGATGTACTCAAGTAGCCTACTGTAATTAACTGCAATGTTTGAGAGACTTGTACTTGACTTGAGTATTTCCATGTTTTGCTACTTTGTGCTTCTACCCCACTACATGTATGTACATTTTAGTCTTACAGATTTCCATTAATAGGTTAAATATAATCAACACTTAAATAAGACTTTAGTTACAACTGGAGTACATTTCACAAGCTACCCTGCATCAAACAAAGTCATTTAAAACTAGCTGCCGCTTTCAACACTTACATTTATCATTAAATACAATCAAAACATATTATTATTAAATGGGCCAATCTGCATTATGAGTACTTTTAATTTAAGTATATTTTGATGCTTATACAGTTTATTAATGGGGGATGGAGCACCAAGATACAGTATGTTTATTAAAAGTGCAAGGTAAATATAAATATGTTACCAGGTGGCTAGAGCTGCAATGATAAGTCATGTAATCAATATGTTGATGGACAAACAAAACTATAGCCAACTCTTTTTGATATTGTACTGATTAATTAGGTAATTTATCATGACAAAATGTCAAAAAATGCTGAGTTCAGCCTCTGAACTATGGATATCCTGCTTGTCCCTGCTTTATATTGGAGTTTACTGAATATTTTTGTATTGTGAACTGACAAAGCTTTAAAGACCTCAACTTTGGCTCTTGAGAAATTGGCATGCACACTTTTCAGATCAAACTACTAATTGATTTATATAGACAACTATCAGCAGATGTAGTTGCTGCCCTACATGTTTATTCTATGTGGTGCCTATAGAGTGCCACGGTAACGCGTCCTAAACCCCGGAAGTAAGTTAGCATTTGACCACTTTCGGTTCCCTCGACAAAAAAGCAATGCAATTTCTCCATAGGATTTTGGAAAATAGCTGGAAATAAGGTCTGTGGTTGACACACATTTAAGAGACGGATCACGTTTTGTTTTACGACATTAAATACATCAGCAGTGACCCCACTGGTGATTTTTGAAGAGTTTACTTGTCTGAAAAACGATGGTTGTTAACAAGTGGCTGAATAGGACTACAGAAGTTGTCGAGGCAGTTTTATGTCATTACACTTAACACGTAAACACTCCGCTAAGTTTGTTAGCCCTGTTCTGCTTGAAAGCAAGTACCTGCCTCCTGCAAACTGTTCAAACAAACGCTTCAACTTGTACACTTTTGAATCTGTAGTTTTGAATATGGATCTTAAGTTGGCGTGACGTTGAAGCACGCCTGTTGTAGTTAGTTTATAGCATAACGTTAGCATTTTGCTTCTGGCGACTAGATTTATGATTAGAAAATTATAAAAGTAGGGTAGAAATGTGGATATTATCCGGCTGAACAAAACGTGATTCGTCTCTTAAATGTTTGTCAACCACAGACCTTATTTCCAGCTATTTTCCAAAATCCTATGGAGAAATTGTATTGCGTTTTTGTCGAAGGAACCGGAGTTTTACGAAGGAGTTTACTTCCGGGTTTTAGGACGCGTCACTGTGGCACTCTATATGTTGGGGCCCACAAGGTTGTCTTCACCATTGCTTGGCCTATATTCATAACCTAGTTGTGTCTCATGTCATCTATGAGATCATGTGCACATCCACAGCTCTGTGCACTGTTAAAGGATGGTTGAAGAACACAGGAGACTTGTGTCCATTTTTAGCATTGCTACTCCTTCAAGAATGTAAAAATCCTGTTATAATCAGTGTTAACCACACAGCTGCGCCTTGCCTCTCTGAATTGCCTTTTCATCAGCTAGATAGGAGAGGAGCCTCAACCCGAGGCCGCAGAAAGCTGTGTTTTAAGAATAACTCAAAGCAAGGAGGCTCTGGTTTTGGTAGTCTGAGGTTAGTGTGGTGCCTCTCTTTGAAAAAACTGGTATTATGGTTACTGACGCCTTAGGGAATAGGATATGTGTGAACAAAGATGATCTATGAATGGCTGTAAGCTACACTTTATGACTGGGTTGACGAGGAATCCTCCTTAATTGTACCATCCATGAGTCTAGACTGTTTTAGGGCATTCCTTTGCCCCAGATCACGGCATGTCTAGCTCTTTGATTTGGTCTTGTGACTCGTCTTTGGCCTTCATCATTCCTCTGTAATGTGGAAACAGATAAGGTTGTATGGGTGAGAGGTTGACGCGGAGCCCATACACTGATGTTATTACCGGTTTTGAAATGTTGCCTGCTCAATCAGCCGTCCAAATGTAGTCTGACAGAGGGCACAACACTGGTGCTCAATGCTTGTCCACTGACCTGTAAGATTGGACTCAAAAGGCTTGTTTGTCCCCGCATTAGTGACCCCCGGCCTAGACACGCTTTCCCAGAAACTGGGTGTGCTATTTACATTAGAACAATAGAGAGCTTCATCAACAACACACTAGTCACTGACACAATGACTGAACAGACATGGAAGGAGTTGGAGACTGTCAGGAACTCAGGTTTTCTTAACCATTACAATGGTAGATGTGGAATTCTGTTTTTACAGGTTCAAGGCTTTTATTGGTCATGCGAACATAGCCACAGTGTAGTTATGACGATGAAAATCTTAGGTCACAGGCTCCTCCAACAGTGCAACACAATAAAACAGAAAAACAGAAATAAATAGTGTATTATTGTTTGGTAGGCCATGCAGTAATGAGATTATTACTGATTATTAAGGAACTGCAACCAATTAGTCGATTAATGAATATGACCGTGGACAGAAAAACAATTGCCAACTATTTTTATTATCAATGTATCTAAAATTGTCGGACTGAAATTGCAGAAGATGCTGTTTTTTTAGCATTTAAAATGTGAAGATTACCTTTTTAATTTATTTATTTATACCATGTTAAGCTGGATACCGGTGATTTAGACTCACAAACAGGACATCTATCGACATTAACCTGAACTTTGAGACACCTGGATGGACATTTTTCACTTTTTAATATATAGACCCAAAAGAAAAATATGCAAGCACTGCGATACTACTCCCTATGTGAATAAATACTGCTTAATGTAAGTGTTTTTGTTTTTTGTGAGGAACCATGCACTTATATATATGACCTTTAAAAAAGCAGTACCACAGTATATAAACCGAATTGAGTTCCTCTATAACCACAAAGTAATGAACCACTGCTGGCTTTTCCTCTGAATAGTGTGGTAAACCCCACCCCCCCCGTCCCCACCCCCCCCCCGTCCCCCCCCCCCCCCGTCCCCCCCCCCCCCCCCGTCCCCCCCCCCCCCGTACCGCATCACATAGTCTGTGCCTTCAGAGGAAACACAGTGTTCATGTGAAACGTATCACCACTTAGACCAAAGACATAGATAACACAAAGTGTGCCACCAAAAGAGCTTAGTTTCACTTTTCTTTGTTTACACTTTATAGGCCATATGGGACCTAAAATGCCGAGGGCAGCGATTCCAAAGCCGTGGTATTTTTAACATCCTTCGAGGTAGTTAGTCTGATTTCTTTCACCCTCTGTATGTTTAAGTCCGTCCCTGATAAGACTAAATGAAAACCAACTGTTGTGCCCTTACCAGGGTTGAGAACCAATTTTCTACCCTGTAAAAGTAAAGCCATGTGGAGTTTATACAAAGTTCAAAAGCTCCAGAGTACGGTGTGTTTGATTTATGTTGGGGCCCTTAACATAATGCCATCCTCCATCACAGCTTTAAATGAGAAATTATTAAAAGCTGCCTCAAGTGATGTCATCCAGAGAAATGAATGAGAAGTAGTGAAAAGAACAAGAGATAAAAAATGGTCATAGTCTGCCACGAGTAAGTTAAAGCTTAGCGCAAGGATATATAGAAAGAAAGGCTGCTCCAAGAGAAACAAAAAGAGGTGATGTCATTGACTTGTAGCGCCAAAAATGTTCCTCAGCGAGGGTCTCTCTCATCTCGGGGATCAGGTTTCATGATGGATTTGCAGTAGGACGTGTGTAGCTCGGTGGAGCTGATGTCACCGTATGAAATCCCTCAGGACCGTACCGAGGACCAGATGGGTCCGCACCACCGCTGAATAATTGAGAGGACTGTTGCATAGTGTCTATTAAAACAAGGTAGCTAAAGTACTCTAATGAAAAGACTAAATCACAGTCTATGCCCACCCTTGTCCAGCACTCCTTGTAGCAACCCATTATGAAGCTAAGTGTTCTGTTTGGAGTACTTCAGAATTGGAAACCTTGTTTAAAGCTAAGAGCTGTATCTTCACTGCTATCAGTCAATCTCTTTTTGCATGAAGTTTCCAGTGTGTTTAACTTGAAGTAGGTTGATATCAGGTTAATAAGGAGCCAGCTACTTTCTTTTTTTTGTTTAACAGTTTTTATTGAGATTTCAAAATCAGAAGAAATATACATTCAATAGCATTGCATCCCTGGAGCCAGCTACTTTCTAAAGAAGAGACACCACCTGTCCTTTGTCTCTTTTTCCTTTTGGTTTGGTGTGTTATCCTTCCTTTATCCTCTGCAAAGTGACCCTGTGTGCCAGCAGAAAGTTGGCAACCTTTGCATCTCCATTCGAGACTCGCCATCTCCCCTTATTGATCCATGCAGCAATTTTCAGAATTATTTACGTGGTATGGCGTAGTGGAGCTAAGATTCTAAAAAAAAAAAAAAAGGACAGTGACATTTGGCAGTAGACATCATGCGGTAGTTTTTCCACTTATAGTTGTAATGTCTTTAATCACTAGTTGTGTCTTTCTAAACCTTTTGATTAAACAGTTTTTCAGTTGTAGTCACCTTTGTCAGAAATGATTCCCCTAATCAAACATTTTCCTAGTAAGCGTGGCAATAAGGAGTGAAAACGTGTAAAAAAAAAATGTCTGGCCTGCCTATTATCATGATAAAACATATACAGTACATACACATATAGAGCAGTCTGATAAATAATGCAAATACACAACACACTATATTATTTGTCAATTAATAAATAATGTCCCTTTTTTATAGGTAACACAGTTGTGTGTAGCCAACGCAATAGCAACATATGTAACACTGGGAGCTCTTTAAATAGCTAATGACATGATGAAACCGTTGACGTTGATGCTTAAAAGTGTCGACATGTATAAATATTGGTTTAAAGCACATGTGTCAAACTCAAGGCCCGGGGGCCAAATCAGGCCCGTGGTGGATTTAATTTCGGCCCGCAGGATCATTTTGAATTACTATTAGATCTGGCCCGCCGGTATATTGCACGCACACCTTCACTCAATCCTGAGGGTCTCCTCAGCTCAGAGCCTGACCCCAAACATTGATGAACTTGCACCCAAGATGAGATGCCAAGTATCTGGCTTGAACTAGCATCACAGAGCAGCACACTGAGTTTAATGGATGTTTCCTTCTGTACTTTTTTTCTTGAGACAACAGGGCATGTTTGGTTTGTTCTTTGAGGGAAATAGTTTTTTTGAAGCTGTTGTTGGCCTGTGGAAAAATGTAATCATAAGAAATGACTCGGCAGATAGAGCCATAAGAAATGAATGCAACTGATTATTTAATGTTTAATGTTGTTTTTATAGGCAATAATGTAAGCTTTGTTAGTTCCAGGTTTAATATGTGCAATAAGTTCATTTCAATAAGTTTTGCAATAAACATTGAACCAGTCAGGCCCTCGACTAGTACCCATTTTTTTTATGTTGGCCCACTGTGTGTTTGAGTTTGACACCCCTGGTGTAGAGGAAGCTGAAGCACAAAGCAGAAGAGTGAACGCTTCACTGCTTCCTGTGCCGAGGCTGGTGATGTCATGATCAGCAGACGCTCTCAGGATGAGCTCTCAGGGTTTCTCGTCTTGTCAGAACTTGAAGCGTGGCCTCGGTGTTTCAATAAAGTGGAATGAGGAAGAAACGCTTCAGCTGTGCCTGGTTACTTTAGCTTTTACCGCCACCCATTCTACACAGTCATTTTCCAGGCTTGATGTCTTCCTGGAACGGTTTGTTTTCCCAAATACAAACCCAATTATGTCTAAATGGTGTAAACAGCCGGTTTACATTCAACCCACAGTGCAAACAAAGTGTGGCTCTCGGAGAGAAATAGCTACTCTGCATTATGTGCACAGGAGATATGTGCGTGTAACAACTTTAAAGTTCGTTATAAAAAGAAAGAAAAGACACCCTTTGAGTTATTACAGTATGAGCAATCATTCGTATTTTGAGATCATATTTCTGTAGTGTTGAGAGAAAAACGTTGCAACATTATTATCTTAACAGGATGTTTCTTATTTCCTTCCTATTTGTATTTGTATTTTGTATCATTATCAGCTCATTGCATGCTTCCCACTATGGGGTATGCTTATCTTATTCTTACCCCTTTTTAAGGAGAGAAATGAAGAAATAAAAAAAAAGATCAAGACACATAAATACAGCTTAGTCATCACATCGCTGTTTTCAGTCCGTCTGCTCCCAGACTTGTATTTGTTTTAAGTGTAGCTTTAATGGCAATCTAAACATGACTTGACATTTATTGAAGTACTTCTGAATTATAGACGACATGAAAGTATTCCCATGCCCTTTGTTTTCATTAACCATGACATTTATGGAAGTATTATTGCTTCATTAGGAAGTAGAGCATAACACAACAAAGAGATCATTATTCAATATTATCTGTCCATTTTCTTCCTCCTGTGACATTTATCCTTTACAACCTATTTAAGGTTAGGTTAATCATCCCACTGGGGCGGAGTGGCGCAGTGGGCTGTGCGTTTGATCATCGGATCAAGGTTGGGGAACTCTAGTTCGAAACCCGCTTTCCGCCGTCACTGCGTCAGGCCGTTGTGTCCTTGGGCAAGACACTTCACCCGAATTTGCTCCTGTGGGTATTGTCCACAGTACATGTATGATATTAATGTGTACTTGTAAAGCGCCTCGATGACTTCGAGGCGGTGTGGCGCAGTGGGCTGTGCATTGATCATCAGATCAAGGGGGCGAAACCCGCCGCCGCTGCGTCTGTAAAGCCGTTGTGTCCTTGGGCAAGACACTTCATCTGAATTTGCTCCTGTTGGTATTGTCCACAGTACATGACTATTACATGTATGTCTGATATGTATGTGTATTGTGTATCTGTAAAGCGCTTTGGGTCATGGAAAAAGCGCTATAAGGAATTATTATTATTATTATTATTCCCCCAGTTGTAATCATTAATATTAGGAGTATGCAACTATTTCAGAGCGTAGGATAGTTTGTTGAACAGCAACATAATGTGAGTTAAGACAGCCAGTGTGTGTACATATGTGTGTGTGTTGGGTCAGTAAGAACAACCGTGCTTTTGACTAAAGTTCATGTTCGGCAGTCTTCAGAGAAATGTGTCCAGACCATGTGAAGGATCTCTGTAAAGACACTGAAGTAACATCAACATTTGTTTAACCAGCAGTGTGTGTGTGTGTATGTGTGTGAGTGGTAAATATTTGAGCTCTCCCTCTTCTTGACGCTCCTCACATGAAGATGTTATGATAGTTGCTATCGTCCCTGACATGTGTTATGTCGTGTAAATACTTTGTGGCTTCTGGGAGAGCCACTGTGTCTGCTCTGTATTCACGGCCTGAGGTGATGTTCACACACTCTCCTCATTCCACTGCGGACCATTTGCCAAAGCTTTTATGTTTAGGAGAAGCACTAGATTTGCAGAATGCCTCGTGTCTTTTTTTTTTATTGGTATTTAACAAAATCCAGAAACGTTCAAAGTCCATACATCCTAAGAAACACTGCAAGCCACAATAAAGTTCTATTTTAATTAGTTTGCTAAGACTTTAGGGGGCGAGACAGCTGTGCCACAGTTATAAAGTATACAATGGGTACCAATCTGCATAGTGGCAGTTGGTATAAAAGGAGAACAGGAAATGCGGAACAACTTGAATAGATCGTTTCAATCAAACTGCAATTTGAGGAAGTAACAGACAATTTAAAAGTTGGAAACAAAGACTGTTATTTGTTGTTTTGTGTCACCATTTTCCCCGTTTACACTTTGCAATGCTGTGAAGAGCAACTAACCATCAACGCAGAGCAAATGTAGTCTGCATTCTGACCTTTCTGTAGTTCATTTGTTCAGTGTAAGAGCACCCCATAGACAAATCTGGTTGCAATTAGTGTGTAGTTTGGAATTTTGTTCAGCCAAATGTTTAGCTGGTGTGTCATCACCACTAATTCTCCAGCAAAAGACTTGACCTGCTTATGCTGCCAAGGAATGCAAGCCCTTTACTTCAGTCAGCTGATTAACGTAGTCGTTGGGGAGTTGTTTGAACCTGTTTTCATACCTTTTTAGAGTTCATATTTTCCAGCACATTTGAACTAATGTCTCTTGTGTTGGCCCTCAGATAAACACCCAACATGGAGGAGTCCAGCAGCAGCAAGCCGTTCATGGTGACGTCCTCTCTGAACTTCAAAGTCACCACCCCGTCCTTCTACAACCAGCCAAAGAAGTTTGCCTCTGTGGCCCCGCCGCGGTCCAAGAGTGTGACCCCCCCCCTCGGGTCCATCACCCACACCTATAGGCACAGCTGTGATTGGTCGAGTGGGAGACCTTCCTCCGCCACCCCCTTCGCTCTGTTATGGTATGTTGCATTGTCTCACTTATTTAGTGACAATTTTAAAGGTCAGCTACTATGCAAAATCCACTTTTTCATGTCTTTTCTACATCAACATGTGTCCCCTCTGTGTAAAGAGATTCTGAAAGTTTCAGGAAAAAAGATTCTCTCTCTTTTTGTCCTGATCCATTTATATAAAAACCTGTCTGAAAATGAGCTGATCAGATTTTGGCCACTTTATGATGTCATAACGATTTTTTGGCTTGTGTAACCATTAGCCAATCACCAACCAAGGTAACCCCCCCCCCCACCTTATCACCTGATACTCCTCCTAGACCACCATTAGCCGCTTTCACACCAAGTACTTTGCCGTACTTAGTGCCCAGCACTTAGTGCCCCCATGGAACTAAAGAGCAGATCGCGTTCACACCGGAATAAGTTCCCTGAGGAAAGATTAGGCAAATGAAGCCGCTGACGTCACTTCTTCTTCTTCTGCTTTGGGTTTACTGGCAGGCCGCAAACCACTTCACGGCGTATACTGCCACCCGAAGTCCCCGGCCGGAAGTCCCCGGAGTTGGGGACTGGCTTCAGTAGAAGCTGCTGGGACTCCCAGCAGCTTCTACTGAAGCCTTCCGAGTAAATCGCCAGAACGCCGACACCTCCTCATCTCCACCGCTCCCATGTATTTTTTTTTGTTGCCATAAATTATTCTCTCTCCGTTTGTGCGCAGGGCTAATGCTAATGCTAATAATGCTAATGCCAGCAAATACAATGGCGGCTTCACAAAACTTTTCAGAGTTTTACGGGGCGTGGTTTGCAATTCGCCCAGCCAATAGAAATTGGTACTTTTTTCTCCCCAGGAAAGTACCACCTCTCTAGCAGGGACTACAAATGTGGGTAAAAGTTCTCATTAACTAAGTTCTCTTTTTGGTGTGAACGCAAATTTCCAGGCACTAACGGAACTAAAAGGGAAAAGTACGGGTAAAAGTACTCCGGTGTGAAAGCGCCTAATGTGTTATTTTTAACCAAATATCTCTCAGAGGGGCGTGGGGAGGGGCTCCTTATTTTCATCTAAAGTAACAGACAGAGAATCAGCACTTTTGAAACAGGGCTGAAACAGAGGGGATTATGGGATGCTGCAATGATCTGTTTGGAGCCAAACACTTCAGAGACATGTTCTGTATATATCTGAGACCTATAATATATTGATGAAAAACAGTATAATAGGGGAGCTTCAAGTCAGCTCCCCCCTCTCCCCCCCACTCCTCCTGCTGCTTTTTTACGCCACAGCATGCAGAGCTTTACAGTTGAGTTCATAATAGCTCAGTGTGGGGCTGTCGTTTTAATGAGTCGTCTCCGAGACATTACGTCACTGTTCTGTAACTCCTGTCTTTCTGTGTTAAATGTGATGGTCTAATAACTTTGCTTTAGGGGGGATTTTTACTTTTGGGGTTGTGCTTACGTTTAACAACTAGTATGAATTTGAAGATAACTAAACCCCGCCAAATTAAAGGTACCCTGTTGAGTTTTTGAACCCTACAACAGTATTTGTTTTTCAAGTGAGTCTCGCATGCATAAGGAAACACATGCACAGTTTTCCAGCTCATGGTTTTACGCTATTTGGGTCGACCATTGATGGTGTTCATGTGCAAAGGAGTGTAGCAATGCACCTGCAAAGGCTGTGCAGAAGAAAATCACTAGCAAGAGAACAGAGATGTAAACGGTACCAATATTTACTAAATATAATTCCTAAATGTTTTCTCAGTGAGGAAATGCATTCAACATGTCTGCTAGAGTCTATCAAAAACACATCGAGTGTATCCTGGTGGTCTAGCAGCGAGACCACCAGGATACACTCGATGTGTTTTTGATAAGAAACACTAAAAAAGCTTTTCTTTGTTTACAAGAAAAGTCCAAAGTGCACCTTTAACATTTAATACAAGAAGCTATCAGAAGAACATTTAAAGGTTGAAGATTTCCCAAACTAAAAAAATAATAATGGTCCTGTTTGTGCTTTAGACGAAGTCAATTATTGAAAGTGAACATGTAATTGGATGATTAAAGGCACGGTCATACACGTGCAAAAGCAGACGAGGAGTGCCAGGAGGGGTCAACTACAAACCCTTGTTGCTATTGGCTGAGATTACAACCTCATATAACCCATGTGACGCGGCTTTGCTTTGCTACCGTAAGCAAATGTTTTATTCACCCACTTTTTGCATAAAATGGAAATGAACACAAGTCAAATATTTGCAAATCTTAATTGTGTATGACCGTGTCCTCGTACATATTGAAACCGTTCTGTCACAACTTTTTTTTAACCAATCATCCCTCCTTATTTCTGCCAGACTTCCCCCCTCCTCCCCCTCCTCCTCCACTGGATGATGATTTGCCAGCCCCTCCCCCCGAATGCCAACCCTCTTCCTACGAGGCGGCCTCTCCTGAATTCCCCGCTCCCCCTCCAGCGGTGGAAGACCTGTCGCTCCCAGCTCCCCCCGATGACTTCGCCCCCCCGCCGTCCTTACCGTCTCCCCCTCCTCCCCCACCCCCACCCCCTCCCCCTCCACCCCTCTTTGCCTCTGGTATTCCTAGTGCTGCTGGAAACCCACAGGTGAGTCACGATGCTGTCTTCCCCGAATCAGGCTAAAGTCCGTCTGCATGTTTCCTCTTGGCTGCATGTAACTGCATTTCCATGTAATGTCATTATCAGAGAGGACACTGGGGGACATTGTTGTGAGTCCATGGAGTGTTGGCAGGAAATACTGCCTTTTTCCACAAATTATATTAGCATCAGTCTGGGGTAAATCACCCAGTGTCATGCGTCTAACCGAATTATTGCCCATTTATAGAACTGAAATAGTTTTTAGACATGCCATGAAGGGTTTATTGTTGAGAAGTTAATTGTAGGATTGTCGGGCTGCAATGTAGGGAATAAAAACAAATGGAGCCACTGTACACCTCCTTGTTTAAATCAGCAAGAGTTCATGCTAAATGTTCCTCTCTAAACAATCAAATAATTCAAAATCTAATAGTTCTCAATAACCAAATCATTATTCATGTATTCCCGATCATCATTACTCACTACATTAAGTGTGTTTGTTTGTCATTCATTATTTTATCTGGGTTTTCCAGCACAATCACTTTTTCAAGTAATGTTTCTTTCTGCATATTTGTATAGATAAAAGACCCCAAACACAGTCTTGTAAAGGATATCCATATTTATGTCAAAAATGTATCATCATCCACCTTTTTATTACTGGCTCATCGTATTTTGCTTCATTGTTTGTCATCACTTTATTTGTGTAAATGAATGTACTCCTTTTGACCATCTCCTCCTCTCCCCCTGCCAGAGACTTGTGGAGAAGCAGACGAGCTTCGATCAACAGCTGGACACTCTGACCGACTTACTGTCCGAGATGGAGACCAGGGGACCTTTCAACCCCAAGGTACGAAGCAAGGAAGGATAGAGAATACACTGTGAAACACACACACACACACACACACACACACACACACACACATACATACATACATACATACATACATACATACATACATACATACATACATACACACACACACACACACACCAGTTAAACACCATAATGACTAATTTAGCCCTATCATAGTCTTATCACACTTTCAGGTGTAGTCATTGCTCGTATAATACAATAAATCACTCATTACTTTTGACTACATTATTTAGTGCTTTTTAAAAATTAAGTCCTAATTGATAAGTCAACCGACAAATAATACACTATTTTAATAACTTATCAATGAATTGTCCGAAAAAGTCAAGCAAATATACCAAAGAAAGCAAATTCAAGATGTCACCGCATGTCACACACACACACACACTCTGGGATACAGAGAGGAGCAGGAGAACAAAGGCTTTGTTTAACAGGAGCCATGTTGTAGAAAATGAGAATGAGTCAGACGGAGGGTCAGTGGAAATAGTTTGGAGAGGTTGGTTTCATTTAGTCTCTGTTCAGGTTGAAAGCTCAATTATAAGTGAACTGCACCCCATACCGAAAACAAAAAGTGAGGTAGCTGCTGGTGATTCACACTGAGAGGAGACACTCGGAGAGAGAGAGAGAGAGAGAGAGAGTGATGCACACAGAATGGAGAGCATGAGAGTGAGGTAGCTGGTGATTCACACTGAGAGGAGACACTCAGAGAGAGAGAGAGAGAGAGTGATGCACACAGAATGGAGAGCACGGGAGTGAGGTGGAGCTGCCAGAGACCCGGTGAGAGAGCGCCATAAATGGAGAGCGTTTTCCATCCAACTGGGATGTGCTGGATCGCTGCAGAATAATGTTGGCTCAAAGCAGCCAAATACATTTCACAGAGATGAAGCACTACTCCTGATAAGCTCGAACTGCGGAGCGCTTCCAGTGTTTACTTTAATCAAAGTTGCTCGTTCAATTTAATAAAAGTGTCTGCTTGCTGCTTTTCAGAATATGACCTTCTCTCTGTTGAGAGTCAGTTTATAATGAATGGAAGATTTATGTTCCAAGCTTGTGTAGGAGAGCTTCAGGTAGTTGGACGTAGATTCAAGTTTATCGCCAGGTACGTTCACACATACAAGGAATTTGCTTTGGTGTATGATGGTGCAAACCTAAACAACATAACAAAATAAGCTGTAAGAGAAGGTACACAAATATAACTATTATAAAAGGAAAATATACACAAGTATTTACACTGAATATACAAAAGAAACTAAAAAACGACTTGGAGAATCATCTGTAATAACTGTATTGTTATTGTACACTGTATTGTATTGTTATTTTGTATATATTGATTGTTGTGTTTGTATCTTAATGTGTGCATATGTATAAATGTGTCTGTTGATTGTGTATATATAGGATATACATATTTTATTCATATTTGTATTTTTGTATTGTGGGAAACGGTATTTCGATTGACATTGAAGTGGACTTTGAACTTTGTTTCTGTTTTATCCACAGACTCCGAGCCAGTATTCTTCAGCACCAGCAACAGCCCCCAAGCCTCCAGCTCCCCCCCCCCACCGCCCCGAAACCATCCCTCTCCTTCCTCCCGCCCTCTGAGATGGGAGACCGCCCGCCTCCCGCTCCCTGGGCCGAAGAACTCAAAGCCAGAACGAACCGACACGCCAATAATCACAACTCTGGACCCAACTCCTCTCAGCCGCTCTCTAAAGCCCCCGCTGTGGCCCCCAAAGCTGCTTTCGGAGGCAGAACGGCCACTTCCTCCACCTCCCTGGCCCAGAAACTGAACCAGACCTTGAACCAGAACGCGGTCCCAGTCGCACCGAAGCCTTCCCCTGCCTCCAGCTCCTTCCCTCCGCCTCCCGCAGCCCCCCCCCGCCGCTCCTGCTCCACCCAAAACCGCGGTCCCCGCCCCGGCCTTCAACCACATCAAGAGTTCTCCCTTCGCTGGTCAGATGACTGCAAACCAAACCCCCCCCGCTGCTGCTGCGCCTCCTCCTCCTCCTCAGCCCAAGATGATGGCATCTCCCTCCTCCTCCTTTAACCAACCAATGAAATCTCCTCCTCCTCCTCAGCTCAAGATGATGGCGTCCCCCTCCTCCTCCTCCTCCTTTAACCAACCAATGAAATCTCCTCCTCCTCCTCAGCCCAAGATGATGGCGTCCCCCTCCTCCTCCTCCTTTAACCAACCAATGAAATCTCCTCCTGCAGCAACAGTATGTTATGTTTTTATTTCTCACTAGTATCATTGTTCATGTTTTAGTGTATTTTTTCTGTTTTGCTTTTATTTTACATTTTTTATTTCCTTTTTAAATTGTTTTATTTTAAAGGTGGGGTAGGTAAGTTTGAGAAACCAGCTCGGGCCGGCTAAAATAATTGGTCGTGCTTTTTACAGTACTACTGCTTCCACAGATGACATTTTTTTATGGATTTTTTGTCAAAGCACTTAAGATATTAATTGCTATCGGGATGTTAAGAGCATTCCATGGAATATAACAAAAAGTGTATCTCGAGCCGGTTTCTCAAACTTACCTACCCTACCTTTAATTTCTTGTCAGCTTTAATTCAATGGAATTTCATTAGGATCACTGTAGATGTTTTATCTTGTTCTGTATTTATTTTAATATTGTTATGTTTTTCTGTAAAGGCTGCTTTGAAAGATGCCCATCTACTTCCGACGCATGGGACCTTATTTCGGAAAAATTATGTATTGAAGTCAATGGGGAGAGAAAACGTATCTTTCGATCCCGTTTGAATTGTGCCATGAATTACAAATATGATGTTTGTCAATCTTAAAAAATTATTTCCATGTCAAAAAAGTCACAGTTTGTTGTAAAACTGTTGAAATATAAGACTATGAAAAATACGCAACTAAAAAGACTACAAATCCCAGAGTAAGTGATGTCATAATTGTTTTCCTCCACTAAATATAAGAGATAGCTAAGATAAGATAACTTTAACAAGATGCCTGTGTGCTTTGTACCAGGTTGTAATCATACCAGCAATGGGTCTTGCTCGTTCTTTCGCTTCCCGTCTGATGAAAGGACCAGGAGTGGCTGGATCAAGTTAGCTAACTAGCTAGTAGCAAGCACGTTAGTTAGCATTACAGCCTTAGCCTTGTCATTTTTATTAGCCTTAACATGAAGTATCCCAAAATGTTAAACAGTAAGAGTAGTAGTCATATTTCGTGAACCCTTTGAAGAGTACTGTCACACCGGTGTGATCATTCTATAATACACCGTTTAAGCCCGGATGCCCCCGGGGGAGACATGCTAATGCTAACGCTACATTAGCATCGGCGATCTTTTCTACTTCATGCTATCTGCACAAATGGTTGACATTGAACATTAAAAAGATCAGGCAGTTCAGGGAGAATCGAAGGAAGGCAGGCAGGCAGCTTTGCATGACATTCTTCTGGACGTGTTTCATTGTGGTGATAGTGAGGGTAGTCAGTTAGCCCTTGTTTGGCAAGACAGTAGTGACGGCCATCTTGGAGACGTGTGTTGTTGTTGTGCGAGACCAGAGATGTAGTTCATTGAGCGGTTTCACACAAAAAAGTCTTACTTCACAGTTTTACGGCAAAAAAAATTAAATGTTAACTTGAACAATTATCTTTTAAATTGACAAACATCATATGTGTAATTCGTGGCACAATTCAAACGGGATCGAAAGATAACCTTTCTCTCTCCATTGACTTCAATACATAATTTTTCCGAAATAAGGTCCCATGGAGGTCCCCCGGAAAGGGAGGGACTTTGCCTCTATACAAATAAAGTTTATCATTATTTATTATTATTATTTCACTAAAGAAACACTCATTGCTTTGCATGTACAGTAAAAAGGCACAAATAATTTAGCTTCTAGTCATCACATGAGAGTTATTCATCTCTGGACCTGCACTAACTGTGTTTATAGAGGTAAACTGCTCAATCGTGAATAACAAAATGCTCTTTAAGGTATGTTGAATGAAGCTATGTGAATAATGTATGATTTAATGGTGTGTGTGTGTGTGTGTAGCCCTCACCCCCCGGCCCAGTGGCTATCCCAGGTGGAGGCGTCCCTCTGAATATGAGGGAGGTGGAGGAGCTGGAGAGGATGACCAATGACTTCATCAGAGACATGGACACAAACGCACCCGTCATCACCTCCCCGCCCACAGGTACACACACACGACACAAAGACAGACGGTGGATGTGATATTTATGATAAAAAAATAACATTAGCATGTCATTTCTAAATACATTTGTTTGCAATATGAGAAAACAATGTAATACCCAAGACTGGAAAAAAAGTACTATTACTACTTTTCAAACAGAGGTCAAAAGTGCTTTCACACAAAAACAGAATACGAATACACACAATATAAAACACAGAAAGTAAAACAAACAGCAAATAAGAGAACGTAAATGTTCCGATTTTTTCTGGCTGAACGCAAAATATTTATAGATAATAAAATGTATTCACAGGCTTTTATATATCTCTGCAGTGGTTCTCAGTTCACTGCATGACCTTAAAGGGACAGTCCACCCCGAAACCAAACGTACATTTTAATGCAAGTTGCAGAGAGTTGAAGATATCTGCCTTCGATCAAATATAGAGGAACTCGATGGCACTCGTCTTGTGAAGCTTAAAGCTGCAAAAACAAATTAAAAACTCAAATTTAAATGTCTCTATCCAGAGGTAATTCACAGATCTTGCTCTCAGTAGTTTGATGGAGGAACTATTTACTTCCTACTTAACTATATCTGCCAACTCTCTCCTTGTGCAGGAGGAAGTGCGAACGAGATTGGCGGGTGTAGTTTGGTGTAAAGAAAAATAGACCCTACATAAAGCTGCTCACAACAAGAGTCCGTACAACTAAACAAATCCATTAAATCGTCTGTTTTTTTATGTGGAAATAATAACAATTACTGGTATTTATTTTAGCGCTTTTCCAAGTGCTCAAAGCGCATTACATTACATATTATACATGAATAGCTTTGTTCATTATAATACGCATGAAGGAAGGTGTAGTTATTAACACAAGCAGAGGAGAGTAGAAAGATGGATGTATTTGTGAATAATCTTGTTTGTATATGTTTTGTATTCAAACTTCTCTCTCTGTGCCTCTCCTCCCTGTTCAGAGATGTGTGGGAAGTGTGGCGAGGCTCTGTCCCGCACCCAGCCGGCCGTCAGAGCCATGGAGAAACTCTTCCACTCCGACTGCTTCTGCTGCCTGAGCTGCCAGCGCCCCCTGCAGGGCCTGCAGTTCTACGACCGCGACGGGGCCCCCCAGTGTGATGACTGCTACACGGTGAGGGGCCAATGCACACTGCAGGATCACAGCAGAAGACACATACTTTTTCAAATTCAATTCAAATTCAAACGTTTTAAAGGTCACCTATTATGCAAAATCCACTTGTTCATGTCTTTTCTACATCAACATGTGTCCCCTCTGTGTAAAGAGATTCTGAACGTTTCAGGAAAAAAGATTCTCTCACTTTTTGATATATTTATATATAAAACCTGTCTGAAAATGAGCTGATCAGATTTTGGCCACTTTATGATGTCATAACGATTTTTTGGCTTGTGTAACCATTAGCCAATCACCAACCAAGGTAACCCCCCCCCCACCTTATCACCTGAATCTCCTCCTAGAGCTCCATTGTGTTCTTTTTAACCAAATATCTCTCAGAGGGGCGTGGGGAGGGGCTCCTTATTTTCATCTAAAGTAACAGACAGAGAATCAGCACTTTTGAAACGGGGCTGAAACAGAGGGGATTATGGGATGCTGCAATGATCTGTTTGGTGTTTCAGCCAATCAGAGACATGTTCTGTATATATCTGAGACCTATAATATATTGATGGAAAACAGTATAATAGGGGACCTTTAAGTACAGTACTTGAGTATATATACCTGATTACATTCCACCATTGCTCTTGAATAGCACAAATAGCTCATAATACACAGTGTTGATTATTAATCATTCCCCCCCGCTGGTCCTCAGAGCTCTCTGGCGGTGTGTTCCCGCTGCGGGGAGAGGATCACAGACCGCGTGCTGAAGGCAGTGGGCCAGTGTTTCCACTCTCACTGTTTCCGCTGCAGCACCTGCTCCTGCTCTCTGGAGGGGGCGCCCTTCATCACCGACGACAACAACAACCCCTACTGCGTCCCGGATTACCACAGGTAGATACTGGCTGTGTTCAAGGATTCAAATTCAAGATTCAAGGCTTTTATTGTCATATGTGCATTAGCTACAGTGTAGTTATGACAATGAAAATCTTAGGTCACAGGCTCCTCCAACAGTGCAACACAATAACACAGATAAAATAGTGCAAGAAGAGTCTATATACAAGTAATTGGAATATGATATATTAGATAAATAATTCATCATCACCGACGACCCCGACAACCCCTACTGCGTCCCGGATTACCACAGGTGGATACTGGCTGTTCACTCCTCTCTGACGAGGAAATATTACATCTCTATGCAATGTGTGTTGACAAACAAACAATGTGGGACAAGACTTTGACAAAGAAGGGTTCTCAATTCTCTAATTCCCCTCCTCGACTCCCCTCCTCGACTCCTATCCTCGCGTCTTAGTCCCGCCCACAGGAGATGCGAGCGGAGGAGTCGAGGAGGGGAACCGAGGAGAGAGGAGGGGAAGCAGCAGGCGGTTAGAGAAATGAGAAATCCTCTCCTCTGAGCGGTCATTTTAAAGAGACGTCCATTAATGATGACTTGGTCGCTCTATGACGCGTTGAACCCAATGCTGACGCAGCACCTCAGATTACTTCCACAAAGTTTTTCACGTTCTCAGTTTTTTACGTTTAACGTTATATTCATTTGGTACACTTCGGTACACTTCGGTACACACGTGTACCGACCCGAAGGGCCCATACCGAATATTTTCGGTACGAATACCGTTACACCCCTAATGGATTGTAAACAGATGTATGTGCTATAAACAAATGAAGGGGAAGTCTGTTGCTCTTGGTCCTGTATGATTGAAAGGTCAAATCTATTTTAGCAGTTTATACATTTCTATGTCCCCATTTATCATACCTGTGAATACTGATAAGAGTTTATTGGAGGAAGGAGGCAGCAGCTCTTCTTCCTCATGTGAAAGTGTACACAGCAGGCTAAACTGTGGCTATATAAATCAATCAATCAATGTTTATTTATATAGCCCAATATCACAAATGTTATATTTGTCTCAGTGGACTTCACAGTTTGTACAGAATATCCCTCCGATACGACCCCCTCTGTCCTTGGCCCCTCACATCGGACAAGGAAAGAAATACCAATAAATCCGTCAGACAACTAGCTGACAGGCTCCACAGCATACTGCTTTCGGTGCTACTTGACTATGAGTGTGAATGTGTGAGAATTTGCTTAAGGCGATCAACTAACCCCCCCCTCTCTATTCCAGGCGTTTCTCCCCTCAGTGTGTGAGCTGTAACGAGCCCATCGTCCCCTCCCCGGGCAGCGAGGAGACGGTCAGAGTGGTGGCTCTGGACAAGAACTTCCACCTCAAGTGTTACCGTTGTGAGGTGAGACATTTAAACTCAAGGTGTTGTCAAAATAAACCTCACATAATGTTCAAGGTTCTAGGCTTTTATTGTCATGTGTGCATAGCTACAGTGTAGTGAACATCTTAGGTCACAGGCTCCTCCTACAGTGCAACACAATAAAACAACAGATAACACAAAAGGATTTACAGGGCTACGTTTACATACCTAGAGACATTGACAAGTACCAACAGTATATTTATATCTCGCCCTGTCAATAAGCCTCACCTTCTTGGCAAAAACGGTATTGTTTTTGAAGTGGTGGAGAGACTATAGAGAGGCGAAGTCCCGCCCATCTACTTCCGACCCATGGGACCTTATTTCGGAAAAATTATGTATCGAAGTCAATGGGGAGAGAAAGATTATCTTTCGATCCCGTTTGAATTGTGCCACGAATTACACATATGATGTTTGTCAATCTTAAAAAATAATTTCCATGTCAAAAAAGTCACAGTTTGTCGTAAAACTGTTGAAATATAAGACTATGAAAAATACGCAACTAGAAAGACTACAAATCCCAGAGTCCCGGTCCCGCATGCTGGCTCTTATGAACCGACTAACTCCCCTTGTGTGTATGTACAGCTCTCAACATGCCCAGACTTGGAGTGATTTTCACCTCTTTTAATACTTTTCGCCTCATTCTGAAAGAAAGAAGTGAAATGTGCCAACGTGACGGCCGTCTTGGTGTGTGGTGCGAGACGGGAGATGTAGTTCATTGAGCGGTTTCACACAAAAAAAAGTGTTACTTCACATTTTTACGACACATTTTTATTTTTTTGACTTGCAAAATTATTTTTAAATTGACAAACATCATATGTGTAATTCGTGGCACAATTCAAACGGGATCGAGAGATAATCTTTCTCTCGCCATTGACTTCAATACATACTTTTTCCTAAATAAGGTCCCATGGAGGTCCCCCGGAAAGGGAGGGACTTCGCCTCTCTATGCACAGTTTTACCCACTGCTGTCACCCATGGCCAAAGCATATCTCTCTGTCCCAGCAACATCAGTACCAAGCGAGAGACTTGTTTCCACAGCAGGGGATATTGTAAACGCCCAAACGTCCCAGCTTCTACCTGGAAATGTGGACATGCTCATATTCCTAAAAAATAACCTGTCTGATGATAGTGAGTTAGTGAGTTTGAGTTGAGTTACTTGAAAAACTAAAGTGAAACTTGTATTGCAGGGTCTAATTATTATATTTTTGACACTTTCAAATACTGCTATCCTACTAAAATGCTGTACAAATCCGATATATTTTTTCAAGTAAAAAAAAATATATATTTCTTTCAATATCGCGATAAATATCGTACCGTGGACTTGTTATCGCGATATTATCGTACCGTGAGTTTTTGGTATCGTTACATCCCTAAGAAATAGTACAGAATAGTCTATATACAAGTAATTGGAATATTGATATGAGTTGCAAACAGATGAATGTTATGGATGTTTTTTCAACAGTGCAGGTGTGTAACAGTCTTATGGCCTGTATTATTCAATCTAATATTCCATTCCTCACATACTTACGTATATATAATATCCTGCTTTATATTTTGTTACGGTACATTTGTAATTCAACTTTTTTTTTTTAATGCTATTGTATTTCTATTGAGATGTTTACATGTTGGAATGTTTATTTCTAGTCTTTTAATTTTTTATCGTACAATACCATGTCTTTTTATTGGCAAATTGGGATCAATAAAGTACTTCTTATCTTATCTTATTAAACAACCTGCTAATAAACACATCTGTGTGTCTGTCCTGCAGGATTGTGCCCGCCCTCTCTCCATAGAAGCCGATGAAAATGGCTGCTACCCATTGGATGGCAAGATCCTGTGTATGAAGTGCCACACCCAGCGAGCCAAGCAAGCTGCGCAGTGATTGGCTGAAGCGGCGTTACTCTCCTCCGATTTAACTATGAACCAAAATCCAAAAGCACAGGATTCATCCAGCGGCCCTTTTGCCTTGGCAGCAGTCATTCAGTGTACATGTGCAGGTGTGTGTGTGTGTGTGTGGAGCAGTGTGTCTGCATGCAGATCCAGAGTAGTATTCCCCTCGTCTTTGTTCTCTTCCGTGCAGAAGTAATGTACTGCATTGATTTCCACCTTTTATCCCCCAACTCATCTAGCCCTCTTTGTGTACAACAACGTATTTTTTGTGCTAATTCCATGTTTACGCGAAACGTTTCCAGCATAACTTGCACAAGAATAGTCAAAAGAGCAGTCTGATGAATATAACGTTGCCTTCTCGCGCCTCGATATTGTAAGTAGCAACAAGAAATTGCAATTTTAAGCGTTCACTGGGCGTTCTCTGTCCCTGTGAGCATTGTTACCATAGGCTGAGAAGTACCACATTTGACCACTCTGCAGATTTCACCACTCCGATTGGCTGCTGGTTGAACATATCTTCAACATGTTGGCAGTTTTTGTGCCTGCACGCATGGTTAATGATGCTTTCCTGCCTAGAGAGTGCTTCATGTCAGCCAATCTACTCCGACAGCATCTTAAAGACGTCTAGGGCTAATCATTAACTGCAAAAAAAACAAAAAAACGGGGATTGTTGCTCTTAGTTTGTGATGTGAATTTGATAATTTACAGGCATGCGTTTTCACTATGTCTCGTAGCTTTCTCTCCTTCAATCATACACACAGTAAAAAGGCAAGATCAGAACAAAAATGAGTTCCATGAGTATTTTTACATGCATGCTTTTTGAATGCACAATTATGAACAAGCACAGATCCCATTCAACGGATCTAATAAAAACAAAATGGTTATGAATGCCAGCTGCACGGCTGAAAACAGGACCTATCATGTGATCGTTGCACATTTCCACAGTGAAATAAAAAAGCCTTTGAGTGTCGCTTTGACTCTAAAAGCCCCCGCACATGATACATTTTGTATTAGTGGTAACCATCTAGACATACTAGTAGCTTTTGATATGCATCTCTTGCTTTAAATATTATAATTTATGGATTCTTTTTTTATTAAGTATTAAGGTTATGTGTACAAAACAACCTGTCCTTACAGTAGAATAATAGATTAGCATATGATACAAATTAGTGACCAAATATGTTGTAGCTGGAAGTTAATAAAACACGTTACATGAGATTCAATGTCTGACTTTCATGCATGTTCTTAATCACCTTCTTGTGTTTGAGCCCAGTTTATTTTGGTTTATTGTATTGTTAAAGTGAATACCACTATTATTTCCATTATTCATCTTTTGTAATCTGTTCATGTCGGTATATTCTACTTTATTCCTATCTTACTGTACTGTATTTCGTTGATAAATGCTTACAATGATTCCATTCTGACCCTGGAGACGTGCCTTCTCCGCTGTTGTTTCTCTGAGTTGAGCCGACAGAAATTCATTCCACACAGAAAACACAAAACCTGGCAACAGTGATTGAGCGTTGCATGCTATCTGTGTCAGTGGTGGTGTTTCCTCCAGTGTTTCCTCTTCAGTCTGCACCGCCCGCTCCGCCCTGCCTTCGTCATCACTCTGAGATTTGATGTTGCATTTATCTGGCGTTCTGTTGTGTCATATTGTATTACATGCGGATGCCTTGTCTTTTCATATAACTTTTTTAAAAATGAATTCCTGTTTGATATGTGTGAATGTGTATATGTTTAAAATCCTTATTTAGCCCCCCCTCCCTCCTCTCCCTTTGACTGTATCAAAAGATAAACAAATAAATAAATACAATGCTAAATACCAAATGTGTCTGTCTGATCTCTCAACTGTACAACCATGCTACTAATCAGGTGGTGGAATAAGTATTATAGTTTACTTAAATTAAAGTTGCAATACTACATTGTAAACATTACTATAGCCGCTTTCACACCAAGTACTTTGCCGTACTTAGTTCCCAGCACTTAGACCCCATTTACACGGGAACGTTTGCGTTTAAAAGTCTTCCGTTCACACGCATTCGGCTCAATTAACGTGTCCGTTCACACGAGACCGCTGGAAACGCTGTAGTACATATGCCGGGCCTGTAAGTGGCGCTGCTGCCGCCACAAAATACACCAAAAGCAGCGAAGAAGACCCCGGAGCATGGTTGCCATGGTTGCCCTTCTGTTTATTCTCCGCGGTGGACGGCGTTTGCTCCTGCTGTAAATCTCTCCGGTAGTCCACCAGCAGATGAAAAACACCCACCCCTCCGCCTCTTCCAAGGGACGAGGGGACCGTGCGGCAGAGTTTCCGTTAACAATTTGTTTCCGCCGGTCAACATGTCCGTTAAAGTTTCAACCTTCCGGACAAAATTAGAAAAGTGCCGGTCAGAGGTCTTCTTTGTTATTTATTGAGCTTTAAAACAAATGAATAACGACTCTATATAATAATATAAGAATAATAAACGGAGCCTCTCTTTTCCTCCCCCTCTTCTGACAGCCCAGCAGCTGATCTCTGAGCAGGAGAGGTGGGGAGAGGCGGGGCTATTGCTTCAACGTTATCAGGACATGATCGTATAGAGGCGTACACACAGAGCCGTTTGCCCCCCCAGAGCGTTTCGTTTGCAGATCTATCCACCTTGGGACCCGTTATCGTTTGTGGGGTCCGTTTCTATCGGTTTGTTTTACGGCCTCGTGTAAACGAAAGGGCTATACGCAAGAGAAACTATGCGGATACAACCCGTATCGTCCTCGTGTCCCCATGGAACTAAAGAGCAGATCGCGTTCACACCGGAATAAGTCCCTGAGGGAAGATTAGGCAAATGAAGCCGCTGACGTCACTTCTTCTTCTTCTGCTTTGGGTTTACTGGCAGGCCGCAAACAACTTCACGGCGTATACTGCCACCCGAAGGCTAATGCTAATGCCAGCAAATACAATGGCGGCTTCAAAAAACTTTTCAGAGTTTTACGGGGCGTGGTTTGCAATTCGCCCAGCCAATCAGAAATTGGTAATTTTTCTCCCCAGGATAATCCCACCTCTCTAGCAGGCACTACACATGGGGGTAAAAGTTCTCGGAACTAAGTACTCTTTTTGGTGTGAACGCAAAATTCCAGGCTCTATCGGAACTAAAAGGGGAAAGTACTCCGGTGTGAAAGCACCTTATGTTACAATAAATATCTGCTTTAAAAAATTACAAAGGTTATTTCATCAAAATAAACGTAACAGTGCTCATGACGCAGATTGATCAAATTCATAATAAATATTATATTACTGAATTATAGTTATTTAAGTGTTCATTTGCAGCTGTAAAGGTGTAGATATAAAATATATAAAATAATGATGGGAAGCTAAACATTACAAATTGTTAGTTAATTTATTTTTTGCGTTATATTTTTTTAATTATACTGCGTTACTGCAGTTATCAAATAAACGTAGTGCAGTCAAATGTACAAATTGCATTGCATAGAGAAGAGTAAAAGATAAATAATAGAGAACAATTACAAGTACGCCTACCCCAACATTGCCGCATGTTTTTGGGTCATTTTAGAGTCAGTAGAGTAAGGAGGAACTATTCTTAGTTTACATTACTTTTTTCACATCTTGACACTAAACCAGTGTTATTGTTTATTACATTTCTTTGTGCACACTATTTTCAAGAACATTCATAAGTTATACTTTTAAAAAGTGGTGGGGACACAATTGGCAATTTTAAAAAGTGGTGGGGAAACACACAAACACTTGAGTAGTCCCAAAAAAGGTTTGTCGTTTATATTATTGCTATAACATTTGTTTTATTTGTATTGCCATGTCCTTTAATGTGAGCCTCCTCGTTGCATGATAAAAATGTTTTGGATGATTTCATGAATTTTTTCAATACTATAATTTGCTTTTAGGCTGAATCTGTCCAGCAGCTGTAGATGCAAAAGCACGAACTCTGGTGCATTGACACAGCAATGTTTATTAATGTGCACCGTTAAATAAATATGTTTGTTTTTTTCCACCATATTCTCCCTGGTCGGCCTCCATGTGACTCTCATGAGACGTGTTTCCTCTCAGACCCTGGATGGTGTGCTCTATCAGCAGTGAACAGCCCTGCGTTGCACTGATAGTGACGACAGCGGACGTGAGTGCGTGTGCATCAGAGCGTGTTTACTCTGCAGGACGTGCATGCCCGCATTCAATGCAATGTACAGGCAACAAAAAAAAGGTGTTTGCCTCAACTCATCAACCCTGCAGGCCTTCGTTTCCCAAGCATTTAACCCTGCACACAGGATGGAGAGTTTTCAAACCTCCACATGCATGTTGCAGAGCAGATTCAGTCTTTGCTGGATCGTCTGGAGAGGAGAGTAAGACGTGGCCTGCAGAGTTGTTTTTATCAGAGCGTCAGGAGAGAAGTGAGTGATGCAGAGAGATAGAGAGCTGTTTGACGGACAGCACGGCACACGTGAAGTTAAACATCAAATGTGAAAGACAGAGGATGCAACAGGCTGGGGAAACACAGAGAGACACATCCATCTGCTCAGAATGAGTGGAACTCCAACACAGCTTGAGGTAGGATCCTTGAGAAAGTTGACATGTTGTTATGAAGCTGTTTACTGTGTTCACATGAGGCTAATGTGAGTGTTTTTGAAGTTGCTGGAAACTGGAGCAGAGCCATCCATGTTCCTGCCAGGGAAATGTCGTTATTATTTATATGATGTGTTTTTGATAGATTCTACAATGTGCTGAAATTGTTTTGCCAATGATTGTGTTGCCAAAAACAAACTGATTTAGTTTTAATCAGCTTTCTCTGGTTACTTTGGATCATTGCAGGACATAAAACATGCTGCTTGCCAGTTCCAATACTGTTAAAGAAATATTTAGACCACGAATTATAGTTTTTATTTGTGTTATTGACTCTGTGTTCACTCACACTCTTGAAGAAACTCTTGTTTTTCTAGCCATGCATGTGTTTCGGGGAGAGGTGCATGACAGAGGGTTTTTACTGCTGAGTCGATGACCACACTTATTGACTCAATCTGTTAATAAGTCCCGTTATATTACTATATTTCTACTGTTAGTGAACAGGCGTTATGTTGTATTTGCACGTTTAAAAAGAAAGTTGAGACAGGTGACTTAAATGAAAAGGAATCAAATGGGTAAGGTAAAAAAGCTTGTCCAAATACCTCACTTTAAAGACAGAAACAAACAATGCAAAATAAACTAACGTATAAAACAGCATAACTTTTACTTTACTAATCACATCGTAAATTACAGTTAAAAAAAGCAATATGTTGGAATCAAAGCAATTCAAATTTTTCATTTCTAGAGTCTTGACAGGGATGTTAATAAGTACTTGTCATAATTTTATAAGTAAGGCTGTTTTAGAAAAGGGTGAAATAAAGGGTTGAAGACAAAGAGGCGTATTTGAGTCCATACCAGTGTTTATACAATATTATACACGTTTAAATGCTTAAAATGTAGTCCCCCAAAAATGTTGGAAAAAGCATGGAAACTGAAATGGGAGGGTAATTTGTAAAATATCCTTTATCACGTAATTCATTGTTAAGATTTGTTTTTTTTATTTCCTTGCTGTGGGACAAATAAAGGATTTCTGAACCTGATTATTATAAGAGCAATTACATAAAATATTACATTTAAAAAGAATGTTATTGCTTAAAATTTGACCACTTCATCTGATCACCTCCAGCCTCAGCTATCGGTCCAGCCATCGTCACAGCCAGAACCTGAGGGGGGGCTCCAGCCTCCATCTTTGTTGCAGCCGCCCGTCCCCACCCAGGATCCCCCCCACACCACCCAGATCCATCAAACCCAGATCCATCAAACCCAGAACCATCAAACCCAGATCCAACAAACCCAGATTCAACAGACCCAGATCCAGGAGTCTAACCCCGGGCTCCAGCACCAAGTAAAGCCCGTGTGGATAAACCATAGGAGGCTGCTTCTCTTCGGCTTCTCCTTATGTGCTGTTATTCTGGGACTTATTTACTATACGCATCATAACCCTCAACACAGGAGGACAAGCCAGGAAAGCAAAGGTAGGCCTACATAGAAACACTACAAAATGACACAATAGGTTTAACATTTTGTCTGACTTGGTTTGACCTGACTCAGGACAGATTTATCCCACAGGATATAGTATGTTAAAGAGACTGCTAAAGGGGCATTTTATGCTCATTTCAGTACTTTGTGTCTCTCCTGGGACATGTCTCCATGCTTTAATGTTCAAAAAGCTCTTTATTGTTCTCATACTGCCTGTGCTGCAGCACCTCTTTTCACCCTCTGTCTGAAACCAGAGCCCAGTCTGCTCTGATTGGTTAGCTGGCCGGCTCTATTGTGATTGGTCAACCGCTTAGAGATGTCCCGCCCCTTAGCCTATAACGTACAATGTGTTGGAGCGCCAGGCAATAGAAGCACAAGTATTACATGATGTCCCTATGTCAAGGAAGTAAACATAGGAGTCCAATCGGTGCGGGTGACATTTGGGATTTTAGCCTTTGCAAACCATTTACATGCACACAAACTTATATAACACACTACAGGAAAGGAAAAACACATAATAGGGACCCTTAACATCTTGCCTCTTCCCTCACTTTGTCCCTCACTTTGTCCTGCAGTGACTCCCTGTCTCTCCCCCGCCTGTCAGTGGGCCTCGGCCCGTCTGTCCTCCTCTGCTGATCCCTTCACGCAGCCCTGCGATTACTTCCTGTCCAGCTGTGGGTCTGACCGACTGCCACCAGACGGCGGGGGGAGGCTGAGGGGTCAGGGCATCCCCGGACATCCACAGAACCCCAAGGAAGAGACAGCGTGGACAGAGAGGAGAGGACAGAGTGCAGACAGAGACAACAGAGGACTGAGAGAGGAGGAAACCCTGGACAGAAAGACTGTGCTGCTGCAGTATCTCAGGGGGATTCTGGGTAGGAGCCTGCACTTAAAACATCCCACCATTTCTGTATGAGGAGGTATATTCATATCAAGGTATGGTCCCAATCAATATCTTTATGTCTGTTTGTCAGAATCGAACCACAGTGCAGGCAGTGCAGCCGAGCAGAAGGCCAGAGGATTCTTCCACTCCTGCCTGGACACCAGATCGATAGAGACAGCTGGAGCAGAGCCCTTCCTCACGCTCATTCAGAAAGTGAGATAACTATATTTTCTTAAATAAGTACTTTACCTCCAAAATTAGTATTTGGATATGACCTACCTGTCCAGTGTGAGCTTTAGTTTGGGAAGAAAGCTAAACCTGAATGAATGCTAAATGAAGAATGAAAAGTCTTGATGGATTGAAGTAAAATGATGTCCTGCATTAAACAAAAGAAAATCTATATCAAAACACCAGTTAAAAACTCTCAAACAACTTATGCAGTAAAATCCAAGTCTCATGTATCCAGTTGTATGTTCTCTTCCCCTTACTAGTGTTTTAATAGTAATGTTTTAGTAAAAATGCATGTTAGGAAGTAGGTAGCGTACAACTGGATAGCCTACTTTTTCGTTTTGGCCCAACTCATTTTTCTGAAAGATTCCGTTTTCTCACCCTGTGTTTCCCACGTAACACAGGGTGAGTCATTGATTTACAAATGATGCAATTGGGGGGTGAAATAAACTATTAAAATATGAGCCTACATCCTGTGGGGGAAACTTCTGTAGCAATTGGAAACAGGACCCAGAGAGGCACGAGGAGAGCTGGAGCTTTGATGGCAAACACTGACGGTTTATTTGGAGTTACGGCCGGAGAATTGACAAGACAGGTGGTGTGTCACGAGTTGACACAGCGGTTGCCAAACCAATTCTGAAGAACCCTTTCTGCAGCTCGAGGTTTTAACTAGTTCAGAGTGTAATAATCAACATTCTTTAACAGTGAGACTAAACAAATATGGACCCTGAATCTAACTAGAGCTCTCGTCCATAGGAAAGAATGTGCGCCAGGGAACCTACGTCCCTGAACAGTAAACTACCTCATGGCGGCTTGTGCTCGGTCATAGACTGGCAACAACAATGCGCCCAAGCTGCCCCTCCTTAAGAGAGATAGCAGCAATACCCAAGGCCGTACAACTATGCCATGAGAAAAGAGACAGTGAGAAGAGACAATGATGAACTGTGTCGAAGGTTGAATACCCAGTGGCGACTGGTCATTAGGGGCAGGTGGGGCACAGCCCCACCTAGTGTCAGCAGAAAGTATTACAAATAATGATTACAAAAATGCAAAAAAATATATATATATATAAAATATATTTTAAGATCATGTTTAATCATCTGATTCGTCTGTACATTGCTGTTTTAGTCTGTGTTCTTCTAATTAGTGTGTCTACAGTCACAGTGTGTGCCTATTGAGCTGTTTAGAGCCATGTGGGACAAAACCTGATTATGCCCCTTCCTCTCGCTGTGAAGTCAACGGTGACTGTAAAAACTACACTGCGCATGCTCAGAGTATTTTGTAATGTAATGTGTGTGGCAAAAAAATAATGACCAGAGGGGCATGGAGCTACCATCCCCACCATACGTCATCTCAAATCATTCAGAGCTGATTGGCTGTAAGTACGTGTGCCGCGAAAAGTGTGGTGCTTGAAGAGGAGACGAGAGAGCTGCAGTGGCGCGTCCTAAAACCAGGAAGTAAGCACAAAAAAGCAATGAGGTTTCTCCATAGGATTTTAGAAAATAGCTCGAAATAATATCTGTGGGAAACGTACCTGTTAGATAAATGCACGTTTTGATTAGCCGGATAACATCCACATGTCTACCCTACTTTTATAATTTTTTTATCATAAATCTAATCCATAGATTTATGATAGACTTTTGAAACTACAAGAAGATAAGGAGGACTTTTACAAAAAAGTAATAGAAATGTTTGTCCAGAAGGATAGGAAAATGGACTTCATCTTCAAGTCAAGGTAAGACCGCCATTTTATTGAAAATGGGATCTTACTAAGAGAGAACAATTCAATATTTAAATGATAAAATGACATTTTTTGGGTATCCTTTTGTTGAACTGTCTGTTTAAAATTAATCGAAGCATCAGACAAAAAAAGCTTTTAAAAATAATATTATATTTTGATTTAGGTCAAAATATAATATTTGTAAACCTGAAGAGTCAGTGCCTCACCAGCCATGAACCTCACTGCACGTCACTGCAGAAGCTTATATATAGACATCTAAGTTTTTTGTGCCCCACCACTTTTGTACATATAAAAACGCCACTGTGAATACCTAAGCAAATTATTCCCTAACACATCCCACAATAAAGTTTTCCAAATGCAATATTTGTTTACTCTCTTTAAGGGGTAAATGGAAATCAGACAATACAGGACACGACACATGATGCATCCTATCAATAACATAGCAGGGTTTTATCCATGCTAACAAGTTGTCTGATTCAGGAACTTGATATGATGATAGTATATAATCCCTCTCTCTCTCTCTGTGTGTGCAGCTGGGCGGCTGGGCGGTGTCAGGTCAGTGGAATCGGACCGATTTTAACTCCACCCTGAGCCTTCTGATGAGAGACTACGCCACATTTCCCTTCTTCAACCTGTACGTGGGCAAAGACCCAAATGAAACGCCCCCTGGATCGACCAAGAGATACATACAGGCTAGTATCCTTCAGTGTCAATGTGTCCTGACATAGGGAGCACAGCAAACTAGGATTTCTCTTAAACATGGAGAAGCAGCGTTCAGATATTATGCTCCAAATATCTGGAACAAACTCCCAGAAACCTGCAGCTGCAATTCTTAAATCCAGGCTGAAGACTTTTCTTTTTGTCGCTGCTTTAAACTGAAATATTCTTATGTTACTGCACTGTACGCTTTATTGATGTATTTTATACCTGTGTTATTTCTATATTAGCTTGTTTTATGTTTATCTTATTCTTTTTGCTTTTTAATGACTGTTTTTAAAGGACATGTTTTTCATTTTTGTAAAGCATTTTGAATTGCCTTGTGTTGAAAGGTGCTATATAAATGTGCCTTGCTGCTTTTACTCAAACCTTTTTCTCTCTATAGATTGATCAGCCGGACCTGTTGTTCCCCATCGAGTGGAACAGCAGGACACTGAAGTCTCAAGCTAACACTCAGGTGGATGATTAAGCCGGTCCACAATTGATTCGAGTTTCAAATATATCTTGATAAATTCATCAATATTCATCCATCCTTCATCATCCTCCCGTCTCTGTTCCTCCAGACGCTGCGCCCCTTCCTGGCGTCCTGTCAGAGGTACCTGGCCCTGCTGGGTGCCCCGCCCAACAGCAGCATGCTCCACGTGTGGACTTTCATCTCTCTGTCCTCTGAGCTGGCTGTGGCTGCTGCTCCTCTGCAGCACCGCCTGGCCTCAGGGCAGCTGTACGAGCGCATCACCCTCCGAGAGCTGCAGGTACAACAGGAGACAAACACACTCACTGCGTCTGAAGGGGTTTCAAAAGGGTTGAGTTGTCCAACACCCAGTTGGTTAACTTGAGACCAGAGATAGCTAGGGTTAATGGGAATGACAAGGCTTAGAAATGGAATGTATGGAGTTTAAAGGTAAGGTAAGGTAAGGTAAGGTGAGGTGAGGTGAGGTGAGGTGAGGTGAGGTGAGGTGAGGTGAGGTGAGGTACGTTCATTTATATAGCACATTTTCAGACACAGAGGCAATTCAAAGTGCTTTACATCATCATTAACACTTAATAAGAAGACAACAGAAAGAACAAAAGCAATATGTGTCTGCTTATTTTTTGTGTATAGTTTTAGTTTCACCAACTGTCATAATTTATTTTCTTTACCCAATCTGCCAACAGACCAAGGCCCCTGCTATAGACTGGCTGTCCTGTCTGCGGGCGGCTTTCCACCCGCTGCCTCTCACCGAGGACGACCATGTGCTTCTGCATAACTCCCTCTACATCCAGCAAATGTCCCGCATCATCAGCAAATGGCTGAAGAAGCATGAGCCGAGCACCAGGTACTGTAAGTGACACAAAACCTACCACGGTCAAATATGCCCAGACTTGTCCTCCTCTGACCTCTGACTCCATCCGCAGCCCCCTTCATACCTTCATGGTCCTCAACCTGCTGCACACCCTGATGCCTGCGCTGGACTCCAGGTTCTCAGACACAGAGAATAACTTGTCCGTGGCTCTGGGGCACACTGAAGGGGTGAGTAAAGGAAGGCGAGAAATGCTTTAGAAAAAGGATGCTCATTTTCAGGTTCATATTTATATTTTGTCCTCTGCTGGGACATGTCTCCATGTTTTAATATTCAAAAAGCTCTTTATTTGTCTCAGACTGCCTGTGCTGCAGCACCTCTTTTCACCTTCTGTCTGAAACCAGAGCCCAGTCTGCTCTGATTGGTTAGCTGGCTGTCTCTGTTGTGATTGGATGACTACTTAGAGATGTCCCACCCCTTGGTGTGTTGGAGTGCTAGCCAATAGAAGCGTGAATGTTTCAAAGTGATGTAACTATATTACCGAAGTAAACAAAGGAATCCAATGGAGGCGTTTCAGGAGGGGGGGGGAGAGAAACTCACTCACCTTTCAGACCATGTACATGCACACAAACCTATAGAACACACTACAGGAAAGGGGGGGAAAAACAAAAGCTTCAAAGGGCCCATAAAAAAAAGTCTGACACATGTATGAGCTGTTTTGTTTTAGTCACATCTTGGTTGTCTTCACCAGGTAGCCCCTCGCTGGAAACGCTGTGTGTTAGAGACTGAGAGAGGGTTTCACTCAGTGCTCACACACCTTCTCAGTGAGAAGACAGCACACAGGGAGGTGAGCAGCCATTAGGATGTTCTTTTGGACATTGATTGAATTAAAAAGTCTGGTGTGTATTTAAAAGTGTTTTTTTTTTTTAAACAGGCAGAGGAGATTATTCAAAATATCTTCTCCTCCTTCAAGTCCAAATTACATGAACTCAATTGGACAGATCCGAAGTCTTTCCAGTCCGTCATGAAGAAGGTAACAATGGAAGCAGGACTTGGAATGTACTTCTTGAACTTTGTTGGTGTTTCAGATATCACTAACAGCATCTCTTCCTCCAGGTTCAGTCTTTAACTCCAAGACTTTGGACGACAAATGAGACCTCCACTGAGGCTGTGATTGACCAGCTTTTTTCTGAGGTACATTACAGAAGTGGAGTACAACAGCTCCTAATTTCATGTCATTTATTCAGAGTTAAACTTTTTTTTCTAGTGAGTTTAACCCTAGTTTAAAGTGGACCTATCATGCTATATTTGAATAATATAGTGTAGGACCATACCTATATTAGGCATATTTATACTTTTTTTTTTTCAAAATACCAAACAGATCATGCATTTTAGCCATGCCTCATTTTGCTCAATTTGACATTTTTTAGCTCTGTTTTTGTAAGGGCAGATTCAGTGAGAACAGCACCATCTACATGCCTGCCATATGTACTACAGCGTCTCCAGCGCTTTCGAACGGCAATGGCCGTGGCTGTCTCCTCCTGATTGGTGGAGTTGGCCCAATAGCCGTAGCGCCACCGTCCTGACGTCAGGACAGTGTTCAAATCTGGATCAGTTTTTATCAGATCCGTTGCAGCCCCTTTTTTAGAGATTTGGGTATGGAGGAAAATAGAGAGGGTTGTGTTTTCTGACACTTGGTGAGTTCCCTGGAACACCGGGGACACATATTCATGTATAAAAGACGTACAAAAGTGCATTTTGCATGATAGGTCCCCTTTAAGGTATAATGTGTTACACTAAAAAACAACCTATGGCATTCATATTTTGTTGATTTGTCTAAAATTTTGAAACCCAGTGAAAAGATGAGATTAATCAAATCAACGACGTGTTTTATTATGTCCCCTCTGATGGTGTTGTATCCATATTATATCTTTGAGCATGTTCCAGCGTCAAAGATGTACTTAAATATAACATTTTGAGCCATTTTTTGGATAGGTTTTTCCGATCTTGGGTCATTTTTAACAATATATTGCATTTGTATCAGGAATGTTAGTCATTGGACATCTGGATCTTAAGTTTAAGCAGAAACAAGCTAAGCAAACATTATCTGTAACTGCTTTTTTACATATTTTAAATGGTTTTAATCACAGAGTCTGTTAGAGAAACAAGCCCCCCTGGGACGTCTATTGGCAAAGGTTGTAAAGACAACAACTCCCATAATGCCTTGCTACTCCACGATGCAGCAAATGTCATATTGTGCAGTTTAACTCACTTACATAATTGTAATCCCTTTATTGGAGAAAAACAAGTAACAGTCAGTATGTATCTGTAGGTGACCGGAGACACACGCGGCTTCTTCTCCAACTACGTCCAGCTCCTGTCGATGTGGCAAAAGAGACGAAGTCAACTCCTGGCAGAGCAGGCGGAGGCGGCTGATATGTGAGTGCTGCATCTATTCAATTCTATTTGACAGTAGATATGAATGTTTGGAGCTAGTATTTGAACTTTCCTTTTTTTCTTTTAGTCTGTCTGTCACACCAATTCTCCTCGGTGACGAGCTCCTCTTCCCCATGGGAATGTTTGTCCCTCCTCTCTTCCATCCTAGCTATCCCAGGTAAGGTGTACACTGGTTTTAAAAGAACCATGAAAGTGTTTTCATATAATAAATGTATTGAACATGATTGTTTTCATTCTTAACAGGGCAATGAATTATGGTGTACTGGGTTTCCTCTTTGCCAAAGATATCCTCCACCTGATTCTGCCTGACAGTAAGAGAATCTCATGTTTGTGTTATATCATTTTCAGGTTCATATTAATATTTAGTGTCTCTACTGTGACATGTCTCCATGCTTTCATGTTCAAAAAAGTTTATTTTCTGCCTCTTTTCACCCTCTGTCTGAAACCAGAGCCCAGTCTGCTCTGATTGGTTAGCTGGCCAGCTCTGTTGTGATTGGTCAACTGCTTAGAGTTGTCCCGCCCCTTAGTTTATCACGTACAATGTGTTGGAGCACTAGCCAATAGAAGAGCAAGTGTTACATAGTGAAGTCACTGTGAGAGAAACAGGGATTTTAGCCTTTGCAGAACATTTACATGCAAACATACAAGACCTATAAAACACTACAGGATAAGGGAAACCACAAAAAGCCAAGAAGGGCCTCTTTAATAATAACATTTGTTTTTAGATATAACAGCTGTCGTCTTTCCACTCCACAGATCGATCAATGCATGAATCATATAAATCTCTCTGTTGTGTTGTAGTTTCCTCTCAGAGTGACACGGTGCTTGCGGTGGGGGAGTGTGTGTGGGGTCACTACCTCACTGTGACAGAAGGTGCAGCGTTTACTCTGTCAGCAGCGCAGCAGCAGGAGCTGTGGCTGCAGTACTCTGCTCTGAAGATCACTCTGCAGGTGAGCTGTGTGGTGGTGTGGTGGTGTGTGTGTGTGTGTGTGTGTGTGTGTGTGTGTGTGTGTGTGTGTGTGTGTGTGTGTGTGTGTGTGTGTGTGTGTGTGTGTGTGTGTGTGTGTGTGTGTGTGTGTGTGTGTGTCCCTAGCATTACTATACTTATGGGGACCTAAATCTGTTTACACAGTCACGTGTGGGGACAAAATGGAGGTCCCCATGAGGGGAATCATTTAATTTTAGGGTGAAGACTTGGTTAGGTTTAGGGTAAGGGTAAGGGTAAGGGTTAGGCATGTTTTGGTTATGGTTAAGGTTAGGATAAGTCTCCAGGAAATGCATGTAAGTCAATGTAATGTCCCCTGAAGTGATGTATACATGGTGTGTGTGTGTGGTGTGTGTGTGTGTGTGTGTGTGTGTGTGTGTGTGGTGTGTGTGTGGTGTGTGGTGTGTGTGTGTGTGTGTGTGTGTGGTGTGGTGTGTGTGTGTTGTGTGTGTGTGTGTGTGTGTGTGTGTGTGTGTGTGTGTGTGTGTGTGTGTGTGTGTGTGTGTGTGTGTGTGTGTGTGGTGTGTGTGTGTGTGTGTGTGTGTGTGTGTGTGTGTGTGTGTGTGTGTGTGTGTGTGCAGCTACAGCTCAAACATCTGCATTGTTTCCTCAGGCTTATCGTCAGAGTCTGAGGAACGATCCGAGTGACACCTCCATCTCAGGACTGTCACACACTCGTCTGTTTCTCACTTCTTTCTCTCAGGTACTGGGCTTCTATTATTAGGTTACAATCAGAGGTGGCATGTAACGAAGTACATTTACTAAAGTACTGTACTAAAGTAAAAACAAGAGTATTTTCAACCAGTACATTATCATATTCATATTCACTATAGGTTCAGCTACCCAGTAGTGTTCAAAAAAGTGCAACATTCAGGAGATGAACACATTAATGCTGCTGAAATGGGTCATTCTGCATAACGTGTACTTTTACTTAAGATAGTTCAAGTATATTTTGATGCCAGTACTTTTGTAATAATAATTTATAATGAATGACTTTTACCCGCAGACGAGTATTTTACACTGTGGTATTCCTTCTATTCGTTGTGATTGGTCAACCTCTTAGAGATGTCCCGCCCTTCAGCCTTTCACGTGCAATATGTTGGAGCTCTAGCCAATAGAAGCGTGCGTGTTACATCGTAATGTGGCTTTGTTCCAGAAGTAAACAAAGGAGTCCAATGGAGGCGTTTTAAGGCAGGGAGACATTTGGGATTATAGCCTTTGCAGACCATTTACATGCACACAAACCTATATGACACATTACAGTGAAGGGAAACCCCCATGGGACCCTTTACATTAAAGAATGGAGTCACTTGTCCACCTCTGATTATAATTGTCATCCCCTCTACTCAAAGACTGATTGAATGTCTTATTATTTCCCTTCTCCAGGTGAACTGTGACTCCGACCCGTACCGTGAGTTCATGCCGCTGGAGTCCTCCTTCCTGATCACAGTGATTTGTGCCGAGTCGGACCTGTGTCCTGCAGGCCTGCAGTGCCCCAATCAGACCCAGCAGCACTCATTAGACACATGCTGAGGAGGGTTTGTTTTCTAGTTTTATATTATAATGGATTGTCTGATAAAACTAACTATCCGCTGCAGAACCTAAGCACACTGTGATTGTTTACAAAAAATTATTACAAACATGTTATTACATATAACAGACATTTATGGTGGACATTTTTGTATCAATAGTTGTTAATATGTTTGGATTTTCAATAAATTGCACAAGATGTTACACAAGTTCAATTTGTTTCACAGATCCACTTTATACAAACAACCTGAAGCTCGGTTCCATGCATTGATCTCCTTTCATTTAAAATGAAGTGTTTATCTGTATGTACATTATTGTTGTCCCTGTTCTGATGTATTTTATGAGTCTTCTGCATTAGGACACTAATCGAATATCAAAATATTTTGATGATGGAATAATCATGAAAAGGAGAAAATGCAGTAATGTTCTTCTCGCTGTGCTATATCATGTTAAATTAAATGCCTTGGATTTTTGGACTGACAAAAGTAAATACAAAGAGATCTTTGTCTTTTAAAAAACTACAATTTGCAATTTTACTGTTTTTAAACAAAACTAGTAATTGATTAATCGAGAAAAGAATTGACAGATGAGATTATAATGAAAATAACAGCTCCATGTTCTCAAAGTTATCAACGTCCCTTATGATGTCTGAATCTTTTGTGTATGTCTCGCTCTATATGAAAGAAAACCACTCATGTAGTCAAATATTTTAATGTAACTGTATTGATAGATTATCCAAACCTCAGTAATTATTGACAGTATAAAAAACATCATACTTCTACATGAAAAGGGAACACTGAGTACAGAAACCTATGTAAATTACATATGGTGGTCATACATCTCTACACCTGCAGAGTGTAAGGGTATTCATGTCGGTGGTCCACGCAGCATCACTGGGGAAACGGACATCACATCCATTTATAGTCCAGTCAAAAAAGTCTCTGTGAGGGGAACCCCAGCAGTTTATTGAGTGTTTGTCACAGGATGCCCCACACCTCCTCGAAGGCAGAGCACATCTTAGCACAGGTCAGCGCTGCGGAGAGCGGGTAGTTACTGATGGACACAGTCTTCTCCGCGTAGTCCACATTCACCTAACGACAGAGAGAGAGATCAGTAACGCAGATATTTGATGCATAAAGGGATAGGTCTGGATTTTTGGAGGTGGCGTTGCATGACGTGCTTTTCCACAGTCAGTTAATCCGTACGTACGTTTGGGGAAACAAGGAGTAAGTTCCTCACAGAAGCTATCCATTGCTGTGGCCCATCAAAACTAAGATTAGCCAGAACAATTTAGCCTTGCAGAAAAGGTGGCTGATGGTCGACTGCTCGATCTGTACGGACTAACTGATCGAGGTAGCGTTACACCAGAAACTTCCATGTTCTGATAAGTAAAATTATAGTTTGTTGTCAATGGAGTCTGGTGGCTTTGAAGAGAATAAAGATAACAGCCTTTAACGTCCTGTTTAAAGTGCAAAGTAGGCTGTTTAAAATATTCAAAATGTAGCGTACACCTAACCTGATAGTCATGCTTTTAGGTGGCTTAGATGCATTCTGCTGCTGCCCTGTTATACAGCAGTACGTTGCTTTGTGCTATTATCTGTTTCACCAAACTGGGGGCATGCTGATCTCCATTTACTGAAGTAATAAACTGATTATGGATAAGTAACTCATTCCAACCCAGCTTCAAAACATCCAATCTACCCATTTAATCAGAATCAGAATACCTTTATTAGTCTCACAGAGGGGAAATGTACGTTGTTACAGCTGAAAAAGAGCCAAAGACAGCTTAATGTTACGTAGAAGCATGCATTTTTTTTTAACGTTATAATATAATACAAAAATAGAATAAAATAAAAAGTTACACAAATTACAAAATACACATCCATGAAGCAGTGAATCCTCCACCGTGCTAACTCTTACCGCTCCGTGTGCGAACGCTCCGATCACCACAGCAGCCGGCCCCTCTGGCACCAGAGTCCGGGGACAGATGGCCTCCTCTCCGGCAGAGAAGGAGGTGGAGATACGAGGGCAGCCGGGAGGAAGGTGGTCCGACACCGGGTTCTTAATCATCCTCAGGAGCCTCTGGGGGCCGTCAGCAGCCCGGACGCTCAGCTTGTGGAGCAGCTGGACTGAGAGACAAGAGGAGGGGAAGAGATTGAGACATGAAGACATCAAATAAGGTGGATAAGACGGACTGTTCATTGATTTCCAGAGGTGGGAAGTAGTGGAGTACAAATACTTCGTTACTGTTCTTAAGTACATTTTTCTGGTATCAGTACTTTACTCCACTACTTATTTTTCTGACGACTTTTGACTTCTTACATTTTGAACACAAAAACCTGTACTTTCTACTTCTTACATTTTCCAAACAGGCTGGTTCCTTTAGTTTGAATGTGTGTTTGGTGGCGTGATCATTATTATTTAGAGTCATTGCGTGCCTATTGATTTGAACACGATCCGTGTATCCATCATTTCCTGGTCTTCTCTAAAGAAGAGGGACCAATGAAAACGTTGTCATGTTGCCGTTGTTCAGCATGGAAACATTCATTAGCTAACAATGACATTATTGTTCTATTAATATAAAGGGAGGTCAGGTACTCTTTAAAACAGCTGGTAGTTATGGGTACTTTTTACTGAAGTACATTTCAAAGCCCTCTTTACTTTTACTTGAGTAAAGAACTTTAGTCAGTACTTCTACTTTTACTAGAGTATTTTTAAACACGAGTATCTGTACTTCTACTTTTTGGGTAATATTTACATATTAGATATATTTATGTATGTATGTATGTCTGTAAAAGGTTATGGTGAAAACAGTGTGTATTTATACAGAGAAAGCTACTTACCCATGAGGCCACAGAAGCGAGTGAAGGTCCTGGGGATGCGGGTCTGTGGGTTGATCTCTATCAAGGCGTTCTTCTCTGTGTGGATGTAAACCTGCAGCAGACCCGCCCTGTTCAGAGGACTGTCCATCAACATGAGCAGGGACTGGGACAAGGACACAAGAGACATTCAGTTATTAAAAAAACAACTCTACAACAGATATCACACATACGGTATAATAGCCAGATTCATGGTTTCCGCAGCTTGAATTAAAAAAAGAACATCACAGCTACGACTATTATTTTTCAACTTTTATTCAGTAAGAAACTAAAACCAAATCCCATAAACTTCTGAAACTATTGGACAAATACTGAGAGTAAAATTGGACTTCTACCACTACTAAATATTGCTTCAAAGAGCTGATATGGATTGAAAACAGACAATTGTATTATATTGAAACTATACTATATTGGTGCATCTCTCTCTGTATGACTTTGACTGTTTTTAAATAGTTTTTTGTCATTGGCTTATCATTCTTATCTTGTCTTTTGAAGTACTTGGTAACTTAGTTTTAGTGCTATATAAAATACAATTCATTATCAATGTTATAGTCATCTTAAGCAGCTTTATATAGAAGCATCAGCTTACACTTTTTTAGTAGAATAGGCCATGATTGAACACATCAATCATACATTACATTACATTACATGTTACTTGTTAGACGCTTTTATCCAAAGCGACATACATACTCAATACTGTGGGCAATCCCCACAGGAGCAATTTGGGGTGAAGTGTCTTGCCCAGGGACACAACGACATGCTGACTGCAGTGGGGTTTGAACCTGTGCTCCCCTGATCCGAACACCAACGCACAACCCACTGTACCACACGCCTCCCTACATAACTACATTCTAGTATTCATAAGGGGAGTCAGTGATACAACAATACAAAGTTCAAAGGAAAGGTTATCTGACTGTAGGTCACACAGACACAAGTGGAGAATACAGATGTTCAGTGTAATGAGTGCTTACCTGGTGTGTGATGTCTGGCCGGATATGTCCTGGATTTCTTCCACTTTTGACAATGATATTTTTGTGTTGGTCACAGTTTAGCAGCTCAAAGGTTTTTCCAACCTGGGAGAAAAAACAAAACAGGTTTTCATTATAGCAGTGAGCCTCAGTTTAAAGGTATATGATGTCACTTCCACTTGTAGCAGGTCTGATCACAACACACACACACTCACACACACCAACACACACACACCTTCACTGTCTCTAACGACGCTCCCTCCAGGATGACCACCAGCCTCCTGTCCGCCATGCGGTCGTGCAAACTGCGGAGATGTTTGGCTGGTTTTGGCTCATATTCGTCCAAATGTTCCAGACCACGCTTCTTCTCGTTAGGAGCCGCCATGATGCCGTGTTCAGAATGTCGCGCGATATGTGCGTCACGACTCACGGCAGGAGTGCGCGTTCACGAGTGGGTGCAAAATACACATTTCGGATTCACATGCAACACTTTCTACGTAGAAAAGTAATTTATTTTGTAATAACTCATTCGACAAATAAATTAGCTTTTTAATATTTGTGTTGTGCAATTTTGTGTACATACATTTAAATTGACCAAAAGAAAACCAACATTTCCAAATTATTTCTAATGGATATTTAATTATATTACACTTATCATGTCTAGGTAAGAACATCGAAAAGTTGAAAATACATTGAAAAATATCTGATTATTGCTGTTAATTAATTGTTATGCTATGTCCCCAAAATGTGTCTATTTTTTCCTCTTTTGTATTTTAATTGGATGTTAAAAGATTGCAGAACCCCTATAACATGTTGTATGTCCTTCTGTCATTACTGTAATTCCCTGTCACTTTGTTGAGTTGTGTTTCTTGTTCTTTTGAATGTCTGTATGGCGTTGCTTTGGTCGGGACCCCCTTGAAAACTAGGTGGTGCATGATCTCAAGGGGTTTATCCTAATAAATACATTTCAAACATTTGACTTATCAATAAAAGTGAACTAAACTACCGTTTTTATCCAGTACTGGTGGTTCTTATGAGACATCTAGCACTGTAGTATTTAGTTACAGTGAAAAGGAAAAGAAAGACAAACAAAAAACACACCTACATTTTTTTGAATACGTATTTTAGGTTATACCTTTATCACTTCCCTTGTTTGGTTTATTTAATTGAAAGAAACGACATAAAACTATACTAAAGTATCTTTAAAATAAAATACAAAATAATAAATACAATAATAATAAATTAATATTAATTAAAATGACAACAATTATAATAAAAAATAAATTAATAAATTAATAAACAAAATTAATACTTTTTTAAATTAATACTTAAAATAATAAAATAATAATAATGTAAAAATAATAATTATACAAATACAAAAAATACAATAAAAATTACAATAAAGAAAACAAATATTTATTGTAGCTTTATTACATATTTAGTTCTATAAAAATACAATAACATTTGATCTTTTGCATTAAAATGTGTCAATTCAATGTCAGTTCAATTCTTGCTGAAGATTGTTCCAAGCAAGTGGAGCTGCGCACATAAAAGCTGTCTTACCTAAGACAGTCCTTGCTCTTGGCACATCTAACAATACTACATCATGCGATCTCAGACAATAGCTGCTTGCTATTGCTTGTTTAATGATAATAAACAAACATTTGCATAAAGCATATTTGTCCACTCATATGTTGATACGAGTATTAAAAACTTGAAAAATATTCCTCTAAGGTACATTTAGAACAGATAAAAAATGTGCGATTAATTTGCGATTAACAATGGACATCATGCGATTAATAGCGATTAAATATTTTAATCTACTGACAGCCCTAGTAAATATACAAAGAATAGACACTGAACATGTATTGCGTGTGCCAGGTGTGATCCATGTGGGCACATAAGAGCGGGAAATGTGTCAAATATTTCTGTGTGTGTATGTGTGTTTGTGTCAGGTGTGATTCACATGGGGGGATGGGCACATAAGGGGGGGGGGACACATCTAGAGTATGTGTGTGCATGCGTGTGGGTGTATGTGTGTGTGTGTGTGTGTGTGTGTGTGTGTGTGTGTTTTATCTGATCCGGATGGTTACTAATTCCTTTTCTTTATGGCGGTCATTTTTGACCGGGAACACCATGGGTGTTACAAAGTTGACTAAATCATCTAAAATTCAATGAAAGTGGTGATCAGCAATTGTATATGTTCAAATGTCTACTGTGAAGGATATCATGAAGCCTTAATGCAATCGAATGTAAAACAAAAAAGTTATGATTGATGAAAGTAGTAAATCCGTCAGATTTGACCCGAAGACAACAAGAGGGTTAAACGATGAAGGAAAAAACACTTTCAACCAAAGGATACTAAAGATACGCCACATTGCTAGATTCAGAAATAAATACAGTAATTGATATATATTATTCAGAAATGGGCCATTACGCTTAAATAGTCATTTTACTTTTGCACCTTTACTGAAGCACGATTTAAAATGCAGCACTTTAACTGGTAACAAAGTGACTTCACAATTGACTTGCACCTCTGTACTGCTTTACTTTGCATTTAGTTGTTCTCCAACTTGTGCACCGTATCAATGCTTTATTGTGCTCCTCGCAGGGAGAGAACCAAGCTGGTGTACTCCATGTACAGCCGCATGTCTGCAGACACAGTGAAGGGGAACCTGGTGACGCTGGGGGTGGACTTCTTCGTCCTGGAGGATTCCTGGTGCACCCCGGAGAACCAGGTACCTCCACACCACCAGAGCCCTCTCACAGGAAGGGGGACTTTTCAACCTGTTTTCTGTCATATTTTATTTTATAATATGATAACACTGTATTGCAAGATAAAGTCTGGAATCTTTCCTGCAACATCAACAAAGAATAAGATTTAAGGAAAGTGTTCAGAGACTCAACAAACATTACAATCACAGAAGATAATATTTCAGAAACAGGTTTATTACCAGGTAGGTTACACATATGAGGAATCTGACTTGGTGTCATGGTGCATAAAAACAAGAATTAAAAACAGAGGAAGAGAACTAGAAAAATATTTAGAATAATACAAAATATATAGTCAAATATAATATAACAGTATTTACACTGCATTTGATCTGGGGTTAAACTTTATTTTGCACTAAAGAGGAAATATTATGCAAATGTTCAGGTTCATAGTTCTATCTCCTCTAATGTGGCACAAAAACCTTTATATCACACTACAGAAGAGGGGAACCCCCTACAAGCATAATAGGGCCTCTTTAACTGGTGCTGGAAAGAGTGTTTCTGTATGGTTAAATCATGGCACCCTCTGTTCTGTATTTGATGGTACTGTAACTACTCATGTGTGCATTTTAGGACATGGTTATGTATATATATCATATATAATCATTTAAAAAATCTAAATTGACTTGAATTGCAGGACAAATAGTGTGTCATTCTCATTAACCTTGTCTTCCTTTCTCTTTGCTCAGGCCCGGGTGCAGCATGCCAGAGATCTGGGACATTGAGGATTCCCAAAACGTTGGTAAAGTTCCCCTTTGCACCCACATGTCCAGAAGCTCACGACCCCACTTCACCACAGTCTTCTCCAACGACATCTACAAAGTTCTTAAAGTCTCCAAAGATCTCAGATAACACCGTGAGATGGACTAGTTCAGCACCTGTTGATCTTTCACTAGGTTTTGATCAGTCACTGACATTGCTGCTTTTTACTCGAAGCCCAACAGTTCCCCCTCTTTGCGGTGCTTTGATTCACTGAGCGGTTGGACATTTCGCCCTGACTTCTCAGTATCTGTGGACTGTTGCCATCTTTACTGCTGCATTGTTTTCATACAGCAATGTTTCTATTACGCCAAAAGGTTTCCTAGCTTTTTATTGTTCCCTTGGTTCTGTCATATAGAATCTTTACTTTCAGAAACTGTGTTTTCAAAGACATGCTGTTCATACATCAGTATTATTTCTTAATGTTAGGAATTTATTTTCTTTGACTTTTTTGTCTGGCAGGCCCAATCATTGATGTCCACATACTGTGAAGCAATACAATTTGCAAACTTGACAAAATTATTTTTATAATGTATTTGTGTGTAAGTATTTTAATGCAAAAGTTGTTGAAATGTTTCTTTAGAGGCCAGCAGTGTTTAAAGAGTTTTTGGAAAATGATGTTCCCATGTTTGGAAGCTTTGAAATACAATTTCTACTGCATATCATTCAGCTTTCAGGAGGCAAACTTTCATTCCTAATCCAGTTATAAAATGACAGAAAGAGTTGTGTTTTTTATGGCAAAACAAGTAGACTGCCTCTAACTGTGCCCTGTCAGAACAACAAAAAATACCCACATTTGTTGTGAAATACAACTGTACGGCCTTAAAAAGGTTATCTTTCTTTCTTATTGTATTTTTTGCCAAAGGAAGTCTTGTTATTAATGCTTTCTACAGAAAAACACATAAACGGCTCAGGCATACAGAGGAAACTGGTCTTTGTTTGGGCCTCCAGACATACATTAGTTGTTTGAATTTTAATATTGTCTGTGGCAATTCACTTATCAAGATACCACTCACTTGATGGGGATTGATCTTCTGATCTAACTTTGGGTAAGAAAGCTTTCAGATGTGTTTTATAATATTTGTCTATTTTATCTGTATTTAAAAAAATAAAAAACTTGCCTTCAGAACCATTGCTTTCAATGGTTTTAAATGATTGATTTATGATTGTTTTCTTATGACATAAGACAAGCACATTCGCAGAAGGTGTACAAGTCCTGTGTAAAAGCAAAAGTCAAGGCAGACTTTTGTTGCAATCTCCACCAGTAAATCTTGACGTCATGCAAACAATTACATTTAAGATGCACATTTTATTTTGGATGCTTTGTGTACACATTACAGCATCTTTGCAAATCCATTACATTGAATGCTAATCCAGTGCAGAGCCAAACACCTCCACCTCACAGAGGATCAGGTACTCCTGTCTGCCAGGGATACCTATGTAAACATAGCGGCCGTCCATCCCGTTGGGAACCTCGAACTCAGTAGTTTGACCTGCCGCGATGCTGTCGATTACAGCAAACCTGTAGAAGAAGCAGAAATCACTACATTAACCTCAGGAAGGGTTTACTGAAGTAATAGGCTTTTCATTTTAAGTTCAACATGCACTCAAAGCGTCATTAGGTTTCTACGCTTTATTTTGTTAGAATGTTGGTTGCAGATCTTTTAATTAGGGCTTGATAATGAACAATATTTATATTTCAGTAATGTTTAAATAAATGTTTTCAAATCATGTCACAGAATCACAATTGACGACCCTCGATCAGGCCTTTCATTTGGCGACCTTGGTATTTGTCCATTTCTGTGATCAGATCAGAACACATTGCAGGAATCATTCATGAATGAAGGGTATTCCCGCTCCAATCCTATTTCTTGGCAATGTAAGGAGTTTTA